TTACTTATCTGCGCCGCTCGCTTATTAACCACGTTATAGTATAACTCTTTCTATATAATAAGTATATTTCTTAATTTTATATATAATATATTATAGTAATTTAATCTTAATTTTCTTTTAAACTTTATAAAATACCTATAGAATATATATTATTTTAGTTAAACATTTCATCTGTCTATTATATCTCTTTAAAGAAAGATATTTCTAATAACCTTATCGCTATTTTAACCTTTATATATTACGGCTCTTTAATCACGTATATGAACTAAGTCTATTAGCATGCCTCGTGCAGGCCTCAAGGGGCTGTTGTTCCAACACGTTCCCCTTTGATAGACCAGAACTAAACATTGTGCACAATGGCTGGCTTGAATTGGACATTTGAACAACTCGCCGCTTACTTTGCCCACCACGCATCTTTCCCGCGAATTGGTCTAAATCCCATCATAGAACGACTTCTCTCGACTTGTTGCAATGCGTCCGTGTTTGGCATTGGCGGCCACTCTGTAGTGCTCCGCATCTCCCCTGAAATAGTGGCAAAGGTGGCTCTGGAGCCAGGCGATGAGCGCTTACGTCAAGAGCAGACAATATTCGAAGCACTTGCTAAAGTCCATTGCCCAAACCTTGCCCAATGTTATCTCCGTGCCGCAGACGTCAACTTTGTAAAATTCATACCAAATGGCACGCTGTACGATCGCATGAGCATTGCCAAAACTCGGCCAATTTTACGCTGGATGCTGCAATTGTCACACGCAGCCGCTTGTTTGGAAACGCTAAGCTACTGCCATGGTGATATTAACCCACAAAACATTCTGTTCGACTATAATGACCAGATTAAGCTCATCGATTTCGACTATTCACTTAAGGTTGGTGATGAGCTTGATGTTGGCTACAAACCCTATGTTCGATAACATAGGGAGCCTGCTGGTGGTCTTTTTGGGGCTGCTGGCCTAATTACAGAATAGTTTGCTCTCGGGTCAGTTTTCTGGTACATGACACGCGGGTCCCAGTTATACTCTGAGCTTGAAGGGCCTGATCAAGTCGACCGTTTGCTCCATGGCATTTTCCCCCTGACCGACCCGCATGACCCTATCGATGGCATTATCCGCAATTGTTGGAACGGATACTATCCCAAGATGGCCAATCTCGTTGATGACATCCAGATTATATCAGGATCAACATTACAGACTCAAATTGAGGAGACTCCAAGTCAGAGACAAGAGCGACGAATGCTTTGTGAAGAGTACTATAAAAGGGCGAACCCAAGTCCTATTTAAAGTAGATTAAAGAATACTAAATATTTATGTCAAATTTTACGGTTCAGTAATAAGTAACTAGTAATAATATGATTCTAGATACCTATATAAAACACTTTAATTTCTTACGTTAGTATATTAACTAAGCTAAGAGTAGACTAGTCTTAAATAAATTTATTTAGTATTTTAAACTAATTATAAAATATCTATATTAATTACTCTTACTACTTACTAGAGAGTTATAGTTCTACTTTTAGGTACTTAACTTAGTAATTATATAGTTTAAACTAGATACTATTACATTCTAGTAGAAAGTAAATAATTATAAAATACATCTATTATATACTGTATTATAATATATTAATTTAGCTATAGTCTCATTTATACTATAGTAGGTTACTAGAACTATAATTACTAAATTGGAAAAGGTGGTTGTAATGGGCGCCTCGTAGGCACCCCCTTCCGGGTGCGGCTCCCGCCACGCCCTCGGAAATTTATCTTTTTTTTTTCTTCATTATTCTTTTAGCCTTGCCAGTGGGTACCCGGCGACCCATTTCGGATCGCCGGTGACTCGGCAAGCAACTAAGCCAAAAAAAAAAAAAAAAAAAACGTGTACCTCTTCGAGCCCACCAACATGCCTGGTGCTCTCTATGCTCGGTTTCCAGAGCAGTCCTCTCATGCCCGCACACGTAAATACTATCCTTCACCATGACAGTCCAGCTTCTATATAAGCCTCCCCTTTTCCCTCTCAATGATCCAAACTTCTCCCGTCTTCTCCTCATCACAGTACAAGCAAGCCAAGCATCTTCACCACAAGCTTCCTAGCTACCAGTTTGCTTCTAATACTCACTTACACGCAACTTGCATCACACCTTTTCTCAACTTCCCAACCACCACCACCACCACCATCAAAACATCATCATGTCCACTGCTCAGTTCGCCAACGGCCTCGGCAACGTCCGCATCGCCGACCGCAATCACATCAACCCTTTACTCCAGGGCATCCTCTACAGCACCGACCGCAAGGCCCAGGTCGCCGTCCTCCAGGAAGAGAGCCGCCGCTCCTCCATCTCCTCAACCTCGTCGTCTGCCCCCCTCACGTCGCGCAAAAACTCGGCCATTTCACCCGACGTCGTCGCTCATGCGTCGTACTCCAAGGCGAAGCGCAGCAAGTCGTCACTCTTTGGCATGTCTGGCCATGGCAAGAATAGCGGTGTCGTTGGCATCACCAAGATGCTGTAAAAAGAGCTGATGCTTGCGAAATGCAATGCCCGCTCACTACGCGCTTCTTTCTTATAGACGACCCCTTTACGACTTAGACTGTTTAATGATTGGCAGAAAAGCAGGAAGCTACTCACTTTCCTCACGAGAAAATGAGCTTCCTGCTACACGGCCGCCGCTTCTCGCCCTTATTGGATACACATAGCATCGGAGTTTTTGGCCATCTTCACTCGCACATTGATTTGAGAGTTGGAATGCTTGTCATTGCGATTTATTTTGGGAATTTACTTTGTCAAGTTTGTCTCACTGAGGAGACCAGTCTAGCCCCAATTTGGCTACATAAATGATTTCCTTTTTGCTTTCTACAACAGTCGAATTTCCACTTGTCGCCAGACTTGGCTACAAAGAATAGCTTGAGCTCTAAATGACTATATTTCATTTCCTTTCCATCAAACCACCGACTCTTTCTTGCATCCTCTCTTCGTCATGTTCTCTCATTTGGCTTCTAAAGGCAAAGCCTGGTCGCATTTACAACCGGTCTCTAGCTATGACCAGCTATCGCAGCTCTACACTTGGTTTTTACTACGTCGCGTCGCAGTTGGACTCGGCTCTTGTCGCGGTTTGAGCACATGGGTTCATGGGTCTCATTGGCTTCTAGAAACTATCGTTTAGGATATCCTCATTCATCTTTACCATCGTCGGACTGTACTCGGACGACGCCGGGTTCGCCCCTGCATCCGTCAAAATATCGTCCACTATTCGCCTACTAGCTTCTCGAGCTGAACGACAGTTTTCGTTAGCACCTGCACCATCTTCAAAATTTCTGTTCCATCTGTTCGATGGATATGCGTCTCTCCTGTGAAGGCTTGATGTCTTGGCATAAGGCAAAAGCAGGACATACCTGGTGTTTGTAATAGTTTGGATGGTGGTAGAGCAAATTGTATCGTCTTTGGGGGGCTGATGCCTCCGTATAAGTCATCGTCGTCCTCGTCACTGTCCCAGTCGATTTCATATTTCTGCTTGCCCTTGAGAGACCCTTCCGCGAGCGCCTGCCGTGTCTTTCTGCTCATGGGTGTCTGGACGCTGACCCCGGGTGTTCTCGGCCCTTGCGACGCGACTGGCGTAAGCCGTCGACGCCCCGCGGCGCCCGAGCTGGCATTCGCGCGACGATCAGCAGCCGAGGCTTTGTACGGCGACATGAACGCCTCGCTGCGCAGCTTGGGAATAGCCATCTCGGGTGACGACGCCGGCGAATCTTGCCATGCTAACCCCTGTCGCTGGCCGGCTGGCGTTGCCGCTACCCCTCGAATAGGTGTGCCCTTGGCGGCCGATTTGTGCGGTGTCGCTTGTATTCTGTAATTCTTGTCCAGCACGCGGTGCAGTAAGGGATCTTTGCCTCCTGTAGACGGATCCATGTTACGCTGATCCAGTAGTGCCTTGGGTGTCAAGGTCACGTCTGGGAGGCGAGCTGTTTGCTGCGCAAATAGAATTGACGAATCCTCCTCCTCGTCAAGTACTGTGGTCTCACCATCTTCTTCGTTCTTCATTTCGCGGCGCATGGCTTCGTAAGGGGACTCTGTGGGCGACATGCGTGCCTTGCCCATCTTTGCGGCCGAGGGTCGCGGGGTGCTTCCTGCTAGCTCTGCGTCATCTAGCATTGATTCGTCATCATCATGGTCAACATTTCTGTGACTGTGTTGTCGGCTAGGTGTATCGTTTTCGTTTTCGTGTGCGTGGTCCGCTGCGTCCCCGTCGTCGCGCATCGCCGTGCTCTCCTCCATGACTGTAGACTCGTCGTTGGCAAGCTCCTCATATCCGGAGAGCGAAACGTTTGCCGATGCCTCGAAGAATTGCTTCCAGAACTATCCTAGTTAGAAGGAAAAAGCCCCATCCACTGTTGTCGTGCGCTGGCATACCTTAGAAGCTTCCCAGATAGCTCTGGAATTTTCGCCATATTGTTCGACCACTGGCAAAATACTCGTCGTGACAATTCTGTGTGCCTTGCTAAAGTTGTGATCAATTTCTGTAGCTCGTTAGATACGTGGGCTATTGGTTCGTCGAGCATCTGAAAGCCTCAAATTGTACCTTGTAGAGTCAGGGTGATGGATTGCTCTAGCCGCTCCAACTCCTCTGTCTGGGAAAAGTTTCGCGCCGCAACGCTTGGTCGGGCCATCATGGGCGCAACAAGAAGTCAGCAGTCTCTTATGTATCCGAGAGTCAATGTCGGTATGGCAGCATCAATTTACGGCCATCAAGTGCTTGGGTCGCGTCGATAAAATGTCGAGCCTGATGAACTTCAAAGTGCGGAGACGCGTCAGTCGCGTTCGGGGAAGCACTGCCAAGCAGTCAGTACCTTATACCCCGCCCCCCACTACCCCTGCTCAGGCACCCTATAGATCATTCAGCGGCTCTTGTATCTTCGCAGTGGCGTATGTGTGAATAAGTGAAAATCGCGAGAGTTCAAAATCGAATTGTCATCTTTATGCTTGCAATTACAGTGTGATACTACACCAAGCAAAGATGACAAGGCGAGCCGGTTGTGTTGTACAGTTTCCATACGAGATCCCAGACTGATTGTTACAGCTCATCAGCGTCTTTTTTCCCGGATTATACATGTTTGCTAGTATTACTGTCATTTGCCTTTTGAAACCAGACATTGAATTCGTGATGCCCAAGCAAGCTTCGAGAAGTTTCCAATTTAGCGACCTTGTCAATGTCCACAGGGCGCAAAGGCGGGATTGACAACCCCCCCACAAACCGCCGATACCAGGCTCAACGCTAACAGATTTGAACCTCTATAAATAAGCAATGGCAGACGGTATCGAGCTCTGTTGCCGCGCCCTGCACTGCTGAGATAGGCAGTGAAGATGGCGGCAGCAGCGCGTACACATCTCGCTTTTCACCACAATGCCAAGCTATATCGCCTAACGACATCAATTGTCTCGACGCGGCCGTTTTCGGCTCTCGAGGAAGCCAATCGGCAACTCTTCAAGGACGGCAGCGACGAGGATCACGTTGTCGTCACAGCAGAGACAATCTTTCACCCCCAGGGCGGCGGCCAGCCCTCGGACCAGGGCACCATGACTGCGACGGTAACCTCCAACGGCGACGCCGCCGCCTCGTCCCCGCCGTCCTTTGAGGTCCGCGCCGTCCGGAGCGACGTCGTCCACGACGGGCAGGTGCTGCACCTCGGCCGCTTCGCTTCATCCACCGCCGCCGCCGGCTTCCAGAAACCGGGCGTGCCCGTAGAGCAGGCCATTGACGTCGAGAAGCGCGTCTTTTACTCGCGCCTGCACACGGCCGGCCACGTCCTCGGCGCGGCCGTCCGCCACCTCGTCATGGACCAGGTCGAGGGCTTCGACGAGCTCAAGGCCTCGCACTTTCCCGACAGCGCCGGCTGCGAGTTTCGCGGCAGCATTGACGGCAAGTGGAAGCCCGCGATTCAGCAAAAGGTCGACGAGTACATTCGCAGGGCCATGCCCGTCGAGATTGACTTTTGGGACGCCGACGACTTTCGACGCGCCGGGCTGCAACGGCTCATCCCCGACAGCAGCTTCCTGGCGCCCGGGGAGACCAAGTTTCGCGTCGTCAAGATTGTCGGCGCAGAGGTGTATCCGTGCGGCGGCACGCATGTCGACACGACGGATCTGTGCGGGGAGACGACGGTTCGCAAGATTGCGCGAAGCAAGGGCGTTAGCCGCGTGAGCTATACTGTGAAGCCTTGAATGTACATGCGGGATCTCGGAGAGTTGCAGGCGAAATATCACTAGAGCTTTTTCCCTTTTTTTAGAATCTGGAGTTGATACGGTAGAGAGGTGGCGTACAAATCATCTTGGACTTGACAGTGTAAATAAGAATATTACATGGCTTGAAACTTATCAGATGCGAGGCTTCATCTCTTCACTTCTGAGCCCGCCAACAACCGCAGCGCGACATCTCTTTTACCTGATTCCCACTCCTCCCAAGTTATACAAAACATGTCCACGTCTCTCCACAAGTCACCAGCCTCCACCCAAGACGGCAGTCTTCTACCATTGCCCACCTTATTTCTAGCTATCCCATTCTTCAACACTTGCTGGTACGGAATGGTTCCGACAAAGCCGAATCCCACCTTGCGCGCAACGCCGATCGATGCCTCGTTGACGCTACTGGCGCCCCAGCCTACCCGAACTAGGCCGAGGCCACCCTGCTCCTTGGTATCCATTGCGTACCGCGCCATCAGCGCCGTGGCCACGACGGCGATACCTTTTCGTTGGTATGCAGGTGCGACGCGCACATGGCCAATCTCCACACATAGTGTCTTGTCATCGGCGTGCTCGTAGGAAAACACGCCCGCGAGCTCGCCATCGGGGTCTTCTGCGGACGGTGGAAGCGTCTTATCAATGACGGCGTACGCAAAGCACTCTTTTCCATGAGAAAAGAATGCTGGTGCAAAAAAAGTATCAATCATGTGCTGAAGCGAGTGATACGGGCCATTGTTGGTATAAGTGTACATGTCATCATGATCCTTTGTAATGTCATAGAATCGCTGAGCATGTTTCTCAATCTGCCGAGCCGTGTCAATACAAAAATTGTTCAGGCCGCATGTTTACTGTGTGACTACTGACAGAAAAAGGAACCAGTTTCACTTTAGCGTTTTGCAAAACAGGAGTTGGAAAACAGAATTGAGAAGGCGTGGGCCCGAGCGACATGGCCAACGGTGCAGTACTGTATTCGGACAAATCGATACACGAATGAAAACAAATGAGTTGAAAATCCCTGTCTGCAATACAGCGGCAAGTATCCGAGAGCAAAGAAGCGGGGGACGCTTAATCTCACCTCGGATAGTTGAGTCAGCGGAGATCGCCTCCGTCTAGGAAACTTCAGCTTCGCATGAATAAGCGCCAGTGTCTCACTACTAACATCGACCACCAAATGAAGATTCATAGCATCATTAGATCATAAATACGTTAAATCGTGGGCTATTTGACATAGTAATTGTCCAGATCAAGCTTTGACAATAGGTGAGCGACAATGCTTTCATCGCCAACTCCTGCCGAGGTGAATAGTCCATCACCACCATACTTGTCCCTTGACTCCGATTTGGCCTTTTCTGAAATGCTGCGACAGACGGTGATGAACAGCTGCAATTTTTGCTTGAATTCATGATATAGCTCTGATGGAGGCTTTGTTTCCGTCTGCTTCTGCGGCACTGCGGTAGCCTCGCTCGCCTTGGCCGCTCTAGCGTATTCCAAAATGCCGTTGAAAATGTCTTCCAGGAGATTCAATATCGGCTTTTGTCTCTTGCGCAGAAACAGTCCACTCATAATTGCGTGCAAAAGGTGGCTGTGGAGCTGCTGGAGTTGGAGCGGACTTGGAGGCTGTTTGGTGAAAGTGTCATTGCTGGAGAGCGCGAGGGCGGCCTGAATCTGATTGAGGCGACTTTCAAAAGCCTGGCAAGGAATGGAAACGGCAGTATCAAGAAAGTAACCAGCTACACTGGAGACAAAATTCCGCGCCTCTCGAGCAAAGCGGTATTCGTCATCCGAAAGCTCATATCCGTAAAGTCGGTTGGTCCAAAGCGTCTGGCGGAATAGCTCATCGACAACGTACATCATTCGCAAGACGCGTAATAGTAACCGAAAAACGCGGTCGTACTGGAATAAAACGACTGGGGTAATGACACTGCTCAAAGCCGGTGGTGTAGTATATTGCAGACACAGGAAATCCAGTGCCTCTAGCGAGTCTGGGTTCATGCACTTTTCAATCTCTTCGTCCGAGAGATTCCGCACCGCAAAGCTCAAATCTCCAGGAAGTTTGTCGCCGTCTCTACCAATCTTTCTTAATGACTTGGACCGTCCGTCAAAATATGAATCAGATAGAATGCCCATCAATGCCAGGCGCAATTCCGAGCTGGCAGGCGGCCAAGTGTCGCGTCCACCAAGGCGGAGGCCCATGACTCCGCCCTGCCTAGCAATACCTGCCTGTCTCTCCGCAGACTCGAGATCAGGATTGAACAGTGCTTGCGAGAGTCTAGTACAAAATAGTCCGCTTCCAAGCATGTGAAACTCTCTGTAGAGACGGAGGTGGCCGAGGAGATCATGCTTGACGAAGAGGAGCCTCATATGCTCTTGATTGATAGCCCGTGCCTGCGCCGACACCATCCCTCCAAATGAAAGCAGAGGGAGTAAGGACCAGTGCGGTGTGAGACCGCTTTCCGAGCTGTTAGAGAAGCCCTGAGCAAGTTGGCTGCCAACAATCGTTGAAAGCGAGTCGCGCGCCGTTTCGTCCTTTAGCGGTTCTTGTAAGCGATGTATAGATGCCTGGATTCGCTTCTCCAGTTCTTGTTCATCCACGCCAAAGAACGTGAGTTGGCATTTCTCCATCTTCTGTGAAGAAGCATCTGGCAAAAACCTGATTTGAGAATCCCTTCCAAGGTGAGTACCGTTGACTGCGACTAGCATCTTCTCTCTAAATTCTTTAATGTGGTGTTCAAGACGCGAGATAGTGTTCCAATCAAATAACCATTTGATCTCTGGCGGCTTTAGGGAAAGAGGAAACTGAGCATTGTTTAGTATGTGTTCGGGGTGATGGCTCTTGATGAACCGTAGATTCTTGCCAGTCTCGAATATCGACTGTGCAATGTCATCAGGTAGAAATGATGGCATCCGTGAACGATCTAGGCGAAAGTCAATGCTCTCGACTTGCCGTCCAAAGTCATCCACGTATATCTCCGATTCAACCTTGACAAACCACTTCCTCGCACCAACATCGTATTTAGTCAGTGGAATGCCCTGTTCAACTTTGGTCCCAATCCACTCCTCCATGAACTCGATCCAGGGTGCTGACACGCGTTGCAAGATTTCTCGCATCATGTCGCGAACATGTTGACTATCAGCGTCTGCGAGAGACGCGTGATGAAACACCACTGAAAGTATGTCATGGTCGCCCATGTCCGATCGCAGCTGCGCTTTTAGCTTGACCAGCGGCTTTACTATGGCCGCCAGACAAGCTATCGACGTTTGCAGTTGAAGCAGCGATCGAGGCTGCACTTTATCGACGGTGACATATCTGTGTATCACCTGAAGTATCTGGTTGATGGCACTCGCGAGCGCCACTCGGCATGGACTGCCTTGACCCGCATACGATTTTTCGATGAATGAGCGCAAGTCCAGTATGCGCATACCGCACTTTAGGCATTCTTCCTCGACACCGGCCAGAATCTGGTGTGAATAGCTGGATATTCGAAATTTGGGCAACGCTGATCGGAACGTCTTTCCGGGATGGTTTCGGATGAAGAGCAGGGACTGTTGGCCGAGAGCAAGCGACAACAGCGCGGAGAGATATGCCTTTGTCTGCACAACTGGAATGTCTGTGTTCTTTAAATTTAGAGGATCTGTAGGCCATGCTAGCAAAGCATCATAGGTGGACGCCCCAGCTTCGCTCATGAAAAGAGGCTGATACGGTGCTGTCGTGTCTGCTTCGAATGCATCCCAGGTACGGTGCATGGGCGGTACGGCAACAGGTTCATCGAGATCCATCCACGTATCTGATTCGAGCACAGACTCAGTCGTTGATTCGCTAGGCGTGTTCGGCTCCTCGACTGGTGGTTCTTGCTCGATCGGCTCCGAGGCATCGAACACTGGCGCGTTGAAGAGCGCATTGGGCTCGGCAATGATTGGCGTGACAGAGCCGATTAGTTTCGCATATGAGTCGTCTGAGAGGTAAGTATTTTGCAGGATTTTTCCAGGAATTGCGTCGGCAAGGCGCATACCATCTTTGTGCAACGAGAAGAAGTCGGCTTTTGGATCTGTTGCAAGGTCTCGGAGCCATCTTGACTTGGGCCAAAACTCTGGTACTGCAAAAAGATTTGCCTCGTTCCCTTCGCCAGTCATGGCTCTCTATATTTATAGAATCGGCACCATGGGTATTTGGCGAATTGCGGCGCTGCCTGGTAATGTACAAATGGTGATGTACAGGCCAAAACGCTGATGGGGTACGCGCCGCCGGCGCGTGTTGCAGCGGCCCCCCGCGCTAGGTACAGCTGCACGATCTCGCCCAGTACGGCACAGTGATGAACCAAACTGGAGCTCCAAGAAGCATCTCTAAGAATTGCTTTTCCTGCATCCACCTCGTACAAGACGCAAACAAATACGCGGCAATTGAATCGGGCGACTGCCGTACCATCTCCATCAGGATTTTCCAAAGTCACTGAGCTCAATATGCCTCCTCGGAAGCGCGCCCGTGGGGGAGCGACCTTTGCGTCAACCCCAGCCCGCGACGACGATGCCATGGATGTCGACACGCCACAGGCAGCAGCTCGCTCGCCAGTGAAGGAAGCAATGCCTGGCTATAATGCCTTATGGACAGATGATCAAGTGTCCTCCCTGTTCAAGGGCGTGATTCGATGGAAGCCAGCTGGTACGCACCTCTTCTGCGCTTGGCGATTAATGACTAAACCAAAGGCGCTGCACTTTAGGCATGCACAAGCATTTCCGCATGATCGCCATCTCCGAACACCTTCGCAACCACGGTTTCGACCCGGACCTGCACCAGCACACGCGCATACCGTTTATTTGGCAGAAGCTCCGCGCCTACTACAACCTCGACCTCATCGACGACCGCGAAAATATCGAGGACGAGGACGAGGACGAAGAGCAGCGCTACATTGACTTTGCCCTGCCCTATGGCGACTACATAGAGCCCATGATGGGCCGGGCCATCGCCGACCCCAGTGAGGCGCCGACGTCCCCGCCACAGCTCGATGTCTCGCCGCCGCCGCCGCACAAGCGCAGCCACAACACGAGAAGGAGCAGCAGCAAGCCGCGCAAGCGCACGCGCGAGTCGTCGAGGGCCGCCGCCGTCCGCGCCACCGACGCCGAAGACACAGAGGACGGCACAGACGCGCCGTCACCGGCCTTAAAGCAGACGAGAGTCGCACGGGGCCGCACGCGCGCCGCGAGCAAGGCGGAAAAGGCGGAGACGACCGAGGAAGACGAGCCAGAAGACGAGGCGGATGACGACGACGATAGTGGTGATGACGATGATGAAAGCGACGAGGAAGAGACCGGGACGCCCGCGGTTATACCGAAGAGAAAAGTAGGACGTCCACGCGGGGGGGGCACAAGGACGAGTTCGAGGAGAAGGGGTAAATGATTTTATGATAAGCGAATCACAAAGGCGTTACTACGGAGTCATAAATATGCTGTGTTCAATGTATGTGAGACTTTATACCCATGTTACAATGCAAAGATTCCCTTTATATACATGTATGCTATCTTCAATCGTAGTCATGTTTACTATCACGACTCACTGCTTTGATTGGTTTCCGCAGCGTCTCCCACTCTGCCTGATAGTCTAGGTCATCCGCCCAGTTTCTATTTATCGCATACAAGCTCTCCACGTCCAGATTAGACCGCTGCATATGTAGCCTGGTAGGGTTTGGCATCTTGGGCCACTGCATGAGCGGTGCCTTCTGAAGCAGCCCCCACATATCCGTTTCGGCAACAGAGCTTGCATGTTCATCCACAGTGTCGGCGTAGCGCTCCTGCCGCCGTTCCGTCTCGACGCGCAGCTTGAGCGCGCGACGCGTACTTTTCATGTCGCGAATGCCCACGGTCGAGTACCAGAGGATCTCGTTGATTTCTCGATTGACAGCGCGTTGCTCCTCATCCTGAGGCTTTCCTTGGTCGTCCGAGTCGTCGTCGTCGTCGTCGTCGTCGGCAGAGGAATCGTCCACTTCCTCTAGGGGCTGCGGCTCCAACTTCACCCTCTCGACGTCAGAATCTTCGCTTTCGGCACGGCGTGGCTCTTCGTCGGCTAACTCGGCCTCAACCTCATCGTATGTCATCGGTTCATCTTCTTCGTCCTCTTCGACGGCTCGAGATGGAGGATTCTCGTACACGTCAAGTCGTAGCCGACGAGCGCTCTTGCGCCACCAGTCATTGGCGTTGTGCGAAAGGCCCAGCGAAGCGATCGCTGCCTCTACGTCCTTCTTCCGCACAATACTTCTCGTACCAGGCACCAACTCTGATTTTGCTCTAATCCGTGACATGCTGATGAACAAAGTTGTCTGCACTAAGCGTCGCGTCATGGAAAGAGCGAGGGAGCGGAAGTCATCCAGCGTTGTTGCCCACATAGACGGTGGTCTCGAGTCGATGTTGCGCCAGTTACTTCCAGGAATGGAAGAGTTCATGAACATTAGATCTGCTAGCTTCAGCCACCGTGGGACATGAAACAGCTTCGCAAAAGCTGGGTTAGCCGCTCCGGCATCTTTCTGGCTCTTCTCCAGTTTCGCGGCAATCTGGGGCGTAACGTCCCAATGTTCTTGCCACTTCTCTTTTTCGCGCAGGCTTTCTCTGGCCTCTTGCATGATCGATACCGCATCGGCAGCCTCCTCCTGGGCATGACAGCACGGCGGCGTCAGTTCCACGGCGGCGGGATACTCGGCAGGTTCCAAACTGAACAGCTTCTTCTGCGAGCGATGAGCGATGGCCGCTTCGTGTAGTACACGCAAGTAGTGCTTGACCTCGATGAGGCTCTTCGTGCCAATGCGCTGCGCGATTCCCGGAAGATCGTGCTTGCCCAGGCGCGACAATGCTTCGAAAAACTGCGTCTTCTCCAGCGACGACCAGTACGTGAGCCCCAACTGAGAGTCCGGCAGGGAAATGACGTCTTCCAGGCACACTCTATGCGCCGCGTCTTCAATGTCCCTGTTTAGAAGCTCCAGGTATTGGGGGTTCAAATGGCTGCGTTGGCGCTTGAAGGCCCGCGGCGAAGGCTGGTCCGACGCACAGCGTTTGCGCTGCGACTCGTCGCTCGCAGAGCCGCCACTCACTTGATGTACATTTTCCGTATCCTCGCCTAGGATCACAGACCGCGGGGAATCTGCGTCACTAATAAACTCCGATCCAGAGTCATACGCGTCGTCGCTGCAGGAAGCGTTTTGATAATCTGCATCACTCGACTCCATGATTTCACCCGCTGTCGTTTGAAGGGCTGCAGCTGGCGAGGCCGATTTGTGTGCATCGTTCAAGATTGAAAAGACCTAAGGCTGAGTAGCTCTATGTCATAAAGAAGGCAAGTTTGGCAGATTCTGCCGTAATTAATCGCATAACCAGTATGTAAATGACTTTCGAAGAAGCGTTCGTAAAGTTCATCTGAGCGGCTCTCTGAACGAGCATTAAGCTTACATAATACAAAATTTCCGGGCAGTCGTCAAGGGTCTCCTTGGCATGCCAATTTTTTCGAGCATGAACAGACCTGTCTCCAATCCTCTATTTACAGAAATAATACCGACAATTCATCGTTTTTGTCTTCACTGAGATGATCTGAATAAGATGCGATGCTACGAAACGTCGTCAAATGTCTGTTGCGCCCCGGCGCGGAGACGCGCAACCCCGTCGTTACGGTGCTGGCTCATCGTGTAGCCAGAGCATCCACTACGACGACAAAACCTCAAAAACCCCAATTACGCGACTACCAGCAAGAGTGCATCAGATCAGTCCTTAACAGCTTAAAATCCGGCCATAAGCGAGTTGGAATCTCACTGGCAACCGGAAGCGGGAAGACCGTATGCCCATACCCATCTCTTACGACTCACTTGAGAGACACACTCCCCTAATCTAATATGTATATATAGGTCATCTTTACACAACTCATTGACAAGGTCAATGCGCGCGAAGACTCTGGCGGAGAGCGCACGCTCATCCTCGCGCATCGCCGCGAGCTCGTCGAGCAGGCCGCGCATCACTGCCGCCTGGCCTATCCGGACAAGACAATAGAGATTGAGATGGGCTCGCTGCACGCGACGGGCACCGCCGACATCACCATCGCCAGCGTCCTGAGCATCATTTCGCGGGACCGCCTGCTCAAGTTTGACCCATCGCAGTTCAAGCTGGTCCTCGTCGACGAGGCGCACCACATTGTCGCCGCAGGCTATCTACGCACCCTCAAACACTTTGGGCTCGACGCCAAGCAGGCGGTCTCGCCCGTGCTAGTCGGCGTGTCGGCCACATTCTCGCGCTTCGACGGGCTCAAGCTAGGAGCCGCCATTGACGAAATTGTCTACCACCGCGACTACGTAAATATGATTGCCGATAAGTGGCTCACTGATGTCATTTTCACCACGGTCGAGTCATCGGCGAACCTCTCTGCCGTCAAGAGCGGCGCCTTTGGCGACTTCCAGACAGGCGAGCTCTCACGCGTAGTCAATACGGCCCCCGTCAACGACGTCACGGTGCGCAGCTGGATGGCACGCGCTGGCGACCGCAAGTCGACGCTCGTCTTCTGCGTCGACCTCGCACACGTCGCCGGACTCACACAGACTTTTCGCCGCCACGGTTTCGATGCACGCTATGTCACCAGCGACACGCCGCGCGCAGAGCGCGCCGAACTCCTTGCCGCCTTTAAGCGTGCCGAATTTCCTGTGCTCGTCAACTGTGGCGTCTTTACCGAGGGCACCGACATCCCCAACGTCGACTGCATTGTCCTTGCGCGCCCTACGCGCTCGCGCAATCTACTCGTGCAAATGATTGGCCGCGGCATGCGCCTGCACCCGGGCAAAAAAAACTGTCACATCCTCGATATGGTATCGTCGCTCGATACAGGTATCGTCACCACCCCGACCCTCTTCGGTCTCGACCCCAACGAGCTCGTTTCCGGCGCCTCCGTTGCACAGATGCGCGGCCTTCAGCAGAAGCGTGACGCCGAGAAGCTTTCCAGCGCCGAAAAGGGCCCCGTCGGCGGGACCGATGAGATCAGTCCCGCGGCCGCCGTCACCTTTACCGACTACTCGTCCGTGTTGGACCTTATTGCTGACACCTCGGGCGAGCGCCACATCCGCGCTATTAGCATATACGCCTGGGTTCAGGTCGGACCAGAGCGCTTTGTGCTCTCTGCGCCGAGTGGCTCTTACATTCGGCTGGAACGCATTGCTGATTCTAGTACCAACAGCACAAACACCAGCAGCATCAACGGTCCACTCACCTCATCCTCATCCTCCTTCCCCTCCCCCTCCTCTACACCGACTCCTGCCAAGCCCTTGTACCGGGCCGTCGAGATTCGCGCTCTCCCACCCGGCTGCCGGGCACCATACGCCGCGCCGCGCGAGATTCTCACCGCCTCCACGTTCCAGGATGCCGTGCACGGTGCCGACAGCTACGCGCAGCAGGCCTTTCCGCACAGCTTCATCCACCGCGCACAGCCGTGGCGCCAAGGCAAACCCACGCGCGGCCAGCTCGACTTTATCCAAAAGCTGCGCGGCGGCACGCATCCGCGGCTGGCAGCCAAGGACCTGACCAAGGGCAAGGCCGCGGACATGATCACCAAGTTCAAGCACGGCGCGCGCGGACAGTTTGCCAAGCTATACGCGGAGCAGAAACGCCGCGAAAAGAAGACGGTGGCATTTAGCGAGTTGCGGCAGCGCGAGCAGGTCCGCGTCGGACCGGTCATGACTTGAAACTGAGGCCTCTACGCCACCAATGAATGTTCCCTGAATCTAAACTTTTTGAAGCAAGGAAAACGTATATTTTTATAACGCAAGGGTTTGTATTTGTCCCGGAAAAGATACCATGAATCTCGGCGAGAGGTATGATTGCCCTATATATAATATTTAGAACATGTAAAAGACACTGGACATAATTGACACTCATCACCAACATTGCTCCTGACATTTGATGCACTGGCCCGCACAGTAATGCGGCCAGTGTTGAACCCGTTCCTGCCGTTGAGATGACTGTCCATCGTTCCTGCAACAGACAGACTCGGCTGATACGTCTGATCTCACTCTTTTGAACGCGTTTTACTCCATACACCACCATCTCCTACGACTACAGTAATCCAGCCCACGTCAGACTCAATGTAGGAACCGCAGAGAGACGATTGGCTGTAGGCAAAGCAGCAAAGAACTGTATTCATATCGCTTTCGATTCGGCCTCATACCCATCCTCCATGCAATAAAACAAAAACAATTCTCCACGGACAACTCCTCATTCATCTTTGGGGTATTCTGATTTTCATCTGGCTCGACTTTTTTTCTTTGCAAATGGGTATATGGCAGGAATACATCCAAGCCAGCGAAACATCACGTAAGAATAGACATATACTCGTAACAAACAAATAAGGGAAAAGGAAGAAACAACGGCAACAATCGAAAAAACAAACAGCAAAGATGGAGACTCGAGCGTCGGCTGAGGTTCGGATTCTCCTCCGGGTATTTCTTTGCACCAGGGTATATCCAGCCAGGGTATTTGAATGTAGAGAGTTCTAGGTTTGGAAATCTAACGGAAATGCCCACTAGGGGCGGGGTATCCAGAATTGAGAGAATGGGAAGTAGATGGGCGGCCGCTATCGCCAGATGCGCGGGTGCCGTGTCTAGGGGTAATGTCGCCACCATGGGGGATGGCGAGCTTGGCGTCAACAGGGCCGAGAAGACGAACGCCCCAGGGGTTCTCCTCGTCAACAAGGTTGACACCGCTGTCGTTCCAGGGGTTTCGATCGGCATTGAAGCTGCGAGTAGACTCAATCGATATAAGGGACGACTTGGAGACGTTGTTGGAGCCTTTGAAGAAGCTGCCATTGGCCGAGTGGGAGCTGTTCTTCCTACGGTCCAGGAAGGAAGACAGAGACGTCATGCTGCCAGGCTTGCGAAGGCGGTCCAGAATGCTGCTACGCTCGCGAATTATTTCAGCACCAAAGCTAGGCTTGGTGGGAGTCTCGCTGCCAACCGAGGAAGGAGCATGCTGCAAAAGCTTCGAGTCGAAATACTGCAGGGAATCCTCAAAAGAATCCGACTTGGGCCTGGGAATGAAGCCCTTGACAACAGTGGCGTCGACTGCAGCAGTGGCGAATTGAGCCTCGAGAAAATCAACAGCATCGCGCAGGCCGCCAGCATTGTTGCGAGTGAAGCCCCAGACCAGCGTCAAAGTAGGATTGCCGTCCTCGGTGAGCTCCTCGGGGTTCTGGTGAACAGTCACGTCAACCTCGTACTGGCTCTTCAGTTTAGGGACCAGGTCATGGACAAAGTCGGGCGACTCGAAAAACTTTACAAGCTCGGGGGTGCGAGCAAAAACGAGGTCGTGCTTGTCGGGAACCATGCCGAGGAACTCATCGACGCAGTGCGGGACCTGCCATTGGGGGCCAGTGACAGTGACCTCATCGCTTGCCTGCTCGGTGCTAGGGAAGCTGATCTTGCAATTGAACTTTTGCTCAAGCTCGTCGATTTCGGAGAGACGTGCAATGAGCTCGCGATGGTAGAGGCGGTCCACATTGACAATCTGAGACGTGTACTCGGAATCCGCTCGGTCGACCATCTCCAAGATTTCGTTCTTGACGGCATCCAAGTTCTGAGCATTTCGAGCAGGGGTGCGGCAAATAACATTGTCAACCTTAAGGTCGTCATCTTCACGGCCCATGCCGCCTCGGTCCATGGCATTGGAGAATTTGACGAAGACGGAGTGTTTCTTCATGATGCGCTGAATATGCTGACCTCCGATACCAATGATTCGCTTGTGATATTGATCAGGAACGTGGAACGAGATGGATGCAGGCATTTCCTGTTCAACGAGGGTCAGTCCCTGCTTGAGCGATTCGTAGCTGGCGGCCATGACGTCGATGTTGAAATTGTACTCGTTGAAGCCGTCAAAGATGATTTGAACGTTGCTCTGTCCCATGATCTTGTTGATCTTTCCGTTCTTCTTGCCACTGACAAATTCCTTGTGCTCATTTGCTAGCTCAATCTTGACCCGAATCTGGTACTGAGGCTGGGAGATGAATTTGAAGTCGGAGATGACAGTCAAGGCAGCTTTGACGGCATCATCGGAGCCAGTGACGGTAAAGGACATCTTGTCAAAGGAAACATCAGCATCAGAGTTGGCACAGATTTCGCCAAGCATGGCCTGCGTATCGGCTGGACTAGGGAGCTGCCGAGCGTCGGGTTGCTGCATGAACCAGGCGGCCGAGTAGAACTGGCCGGCAAGAGACATGAGCTCACGAACGGTGCGCTCGACGGGCAAACTCTCGGTGCCCTGAACACGGACCAGGTTACGCTGGCAGGCCAGGGGAGGGAACATGACGTAGGTGCCGTTGGCCTCGAGGACCTTGCGAACTTTGTCCAGGCGGTCGAGAAGGATGGTGTCAATTTTGGCAGCAGGTATGTTGACATCCTTAACATAGATGCGGATACGAGTGGCGGTTTCGTGTAGTCTCTGCTTGGCAAGTTCAATGGCTTGAGGAGATTCACCAGTGATGTAAATTTCGGCGGGATCACGTCGGTTTGCATTGGGAGGACAGTATCGGTACATTTGCGAGAATAGCGGCGGGAAGTAGATGGCAGTTCCGGTGGAGGACTCTATGAGTTTGATGTTTTTGCGATGACGGCCGCAGACCAGTTGGTGCAGCGCAAGGTCGACACGGGTAGCATCGACAACACGGCCAAGCTTGAAAATTGGTTAGCGAACGCGGAAGCGGGTGACGTTGGAGCAGGGATATTTACCAAGGTATCAATGTGGATGAGGACACGAGCCTTGGCATGCTCCGAAGACAGAATATCACCATAGATGGCAATTCTCCATCTTTGGTCCATGCGCATTTCAGAATCGCCAGACACGCCATCGACCATGGGAGTCAGCTTGGGGCCAAGCAGAAAAATGTCGACACCACAAAAGGTGGAGATGTAATCGAGGGTCTCGATGACAGGCTTCTTGAGAACGCCGGCGTTCAAGTCGCAGACAAGCTTGCCCTCGATGTCGATGATGGTGCAGCGCTGTGCAAGACAAGTGGGTTAGCGGAAGACACAGCAGAAGAACAAACAGAACAAAGGTCCATGCAACTATCAAAATATGTCATACCAAGGCGATGGGGATCTCGTTGAGGATGGTCTCACGGCTTTTGTTGACGAGCTCGGGAGAGCCGGAAAGGCAAACAGTGGTGATTTGCTGGGCCCTGCCATTCTTGGGAGCAGTGGAAATGACCTGGGCCTCGATGGGAAGAGGCCCACCGGAGAGGTCTCTACACAAGCGGTGCAGGTTGTTGAGGTTGTGGGCGTGGACAGGAAGCTCGTGAACCTGGACGTCATCAGGGGCATCCTCGGGGTGCGTCCATCGGAGGACGGCATCGGCGGTGGAATGCAGAATTTCCTCGGTGTTGGGACCGGCGAGGTCGGACGAGAAGGGGACGTTGAAAGAGTAGGTGATGGTGGCGTCGGCAGCCTGCGGGTTGACGAGGGCAGGGCCAGGATGAGGGACATTTTTTGGATGAGTATTGATTGGGTTGCCGGGCATGTTGGGACGGCCACCCATCCCAAAGTTGGGACTCATCCTCTCGGACCAGTGCCGCATATTTGCCAATTTGTTCATGGTGGGCAAATGAGGGTCTGAAACGGCTTGAAGGCGGCGGGCGTGGTTGGAAGAGGCGGTTGCGGTTGCGGGCGTCGACTAAGCGAGGCGAGGCGAGGTAGCGGGCGGGTTATCGGACACGACTCGAGAATGGAGAGAGGCGAGGCAGGAGCCGGTCAAAAAGAGATGGTCGCAGCAGAAATACTTGCATAAATCGTGGGATGGGAGACGGAGCGAGCGACAGCGAAGAAAAACAGACAAGAGCACAGAGGTACACGGAGAAAGGACCAGCAGCGGGAGGGGGTATCTAGACGAAGAAGCTGGTTTTGCAGAGGATGAAGAGACAGGAGGGGCAAAGAGATATGAACAGAAGGGGAATCAAAGAGGAGAAGGGCGATGCTGGAGGGAATTGGGTGTGAAGCTATCCTGACCAAGAACTCTTTTGCGGGAGAGAATCATAAGAAGGAAGAGTGAGGAAGAGGAGAAAAAGAGGCCAAACAGAGTGAGTAGGTGGTGCTGATAATGGTGCTGGAGGTGGTGCTGCGCAGCACAGCGTAGCCTTGTATTTACCTATTATTTAGGTGATGCAGTAGTTAATATGGAGTTTGGTGGAGCGTTCTGGGGGCGAGACAGAAGGCCAGAGAGTCGAGGCGAGCGAGAAACAAGCCAGTCATGCCGCGTAACAGTGATGACAGTAATGCAGTGCAGCCACAGCGAGCAAGGTCGAAATTCTTTTAATTCTTTGACTACATTTTGTTCGGTATTTTCTGAGCGAAGCAGAGGGGCTGGCGTGAGCGCGTCCTAGTTACGGCGTCAATAACAAGCGGAGCATGAACCTGGCGTTATTGCAGTTGGTGCCGGTCTGGCAGGCAACAGGGCAGAAGAGCCCTGTGCAGAAAAGTACAGCTCACATCTCACAAGCTCACAGCGTTACTTGCCCTCACGGTGCTTATCCCAGCAGAGCAACAAAGGTGGCCACCTTGGTTACAGTCTTGCAAGCAAATCTTGCGAGGTAACACGCCAGCCTGCTTCGTCTGCATCCACCGGAAGCGGGTCGGCTGGGCGGCTTGGGCGGGCAAGCAAGTTGAGAGCTTCCATGATCATTCATCATTGATCCAGTGAGAGTGAGAGGTGGGTGGGCACTCTGCCTACAAGCTGAGGCGGCTGTGTCGGGCTTGCAGGCTCTCCAAATTCCATGGGGCCAACTGGTATCCGTAACTGTAAGCGGATTGGCGGGGGAGGAAACATGAAAGTCAAGAGGAGCTGACCCGGCTGGCCTGGCCCTTTGTTAGGCTTTTGTCAACTTCCAAGGCAGCCTAGGTATTTAGTAAGACTTGTCAGCTCTCCGCATAAAAGGAAAAAAAAAGTAGCTGCAGTTTTGGAGACGATGCGTGTCTCGGCCATGAGGACCAAGCAAAATACAAGAGATGCATATCGTTGCAAACATCAGTGCCACTGCAATACTCTTGTCATTCTTTGTGCGTGCAGAAGCGTGGCGCGAGCTATGGCCAGTCCATCTCTAAAAACTACCTACTGCTTCGTAACATACCTGCATGCCTACCTACATGTCATGCCTGTCAACATATGTGTTCGCCTGCTTACGTTTCCCCCATGGTGCTACTAAAACTTACTGGATTAGCCAGTACCACCCCATCTAGACTTTTGCATCTCACTTTATCGCGCCTTGCCGTTGTCGTGTCGTGTCCGCAGTTGTCAGTTGAGCACCACAACTTGAGCTAGACAAGGGTCACCCACACAAAGCCCCCCCCAGTGGCCCCTCAAGACACGAAAGCCCGCCGTGCCCGCCAACCGCCAATAATCAACGCCATTCCTTCACAGCCAGCGACAGCCACTCTTACAGACCACGAGGAGATGCCCTGCTGCCCTCTTTTCTGACAAAACCCGGCTGCCTCGTTTGGCTTGCTGCGGACGGGATTCCTCCCTTTAGACATGACGGGAACGCCAATAAACGCAAAGAGGTCAAGGCTGTGTGCCCAGCGCCCGGCCCAAGTCTCGTGCATTCAAAGTGGGCTGCATGTTGCTCGACTCATTGTTCCCGTCGGTCAGTTGCTTCCCAATGTCTCCCTTCTTCGGGTCAATACTAGGATATATAGATAGATACGAGATTGGGCGAGTGTTGCTGCTTGCTGCGCCCCTCCAAAACGTGATAACAACACATGTTGCAGCATCATCAGATAACTCCTGCACAAACGCAATAGATGGCACGAAAAACCGCCACGAAAAAATGCCACGAAAACGCACAAACCACCCAGTCCCTTTTATTTTCTTCGCTATGGTGGCTATCTAGCAGTTAGCTAGCGGGCGGGGACGCGGAACATGCATTCCAGCTTGCCCACTGGTAGATCGCCTTTCGCCTGGAGGTTGGCACCCTGGCAGCTGGGTCTACCAGTGGAACCTCGTCAACGCCTTGGCACCGCCTAGCGCCTACCTTACACAGCGATGCACCTGCAGAACGAGTCCTTTTCTTTTACCGATACAATCATTTGCAGAGTGATAGAGTCCAGCCCATCTTCACCCATCCCCCCTTGGGTTTCCCAGTTTCGTCTCAGGCCACAAGCACGCTTCCAAGCTTTCAACGGTTGCTACTAGACTTTGTCTGTGCTATAGGTACTGCTGCGCCATATTCACATAGTGCCATTCCTTGCGAATTAGAGATGCTGGCTCATCTTCCATAGATGTTTTCGCCGAAAAATACATGACAAGGACAAGAGCTTCCGCCATCCGCCAAATCCGCTCAAGAGCTTGGGTATCAAGCAGTAAATACTGGCTGTGGCCCATCACAGGCAAGAATTGGTCCGAGAATGGTACGAGAGGATCAGCTATCCCACTCCCATCAAGCCACCAACGTGGGTAACTTTCCAACCAACCACGCCTTTCGACCGAGCGTTTCCATGCTCAACAAAATGGTACTTTCCCTAAATAGAGTCCAGAGCCCAAACTTTTCCTGTGCATGCAAAAAGCAACAGAAACGGACCGAGCTACAGTTCGCGTTTACGCGCCCCGTCTCGCCCAAACTCCCCCGGCAAGCTGGCATGAATTCACATCGCCCCGAGTCGTAAAAATAGATGTCTGTCTCGTCCAACAAATGTGCGAGGTCCGAGTCCGACGCACCCCCTCCCGCCCAGGGAACGGGTTCATGCCGTGCCCAATCGCCCAAAACCTCATCCCTCCAGGCTCCCACAGCATCTGCATCGATCCTCGAAACCCGACATATATGTTTTGACCATGATCCAGCTCCGCCTGCCTTAACCATCACAAGTGACAGCGCCCCGACACTCACGACGTTTGAGACTGTCGTTCTCGCTTCGCGGGACTCCTTGTCTCGTCCCGCCTCGACAACCTTGCCTGCATCAGCTTCGCCTCTCCAACTACGAACCGTCGATTTTCGTACCTACGTACTACTGTGCCTGCATCTGCCCACGTTGCTATTCCATAAATTACTCATTCAAATCAGGACATCCCTGCGGCCACTGCGACTCGTCTTGACATGTCTCAATTATTCTTTGTATTGCATTAATATGTACCGGGTGTCCCTGTCATCTTAGCAACGCTCCTTATCTACCATCAAAAACGAAGCGCAAAAGTTCAAGCGACCCATCAGTAGCGCTGTTCCAACAGAATGCCGACTGTTCCCAGAAATGATATAAATGCAATCCGCGCTGATTACCGGAAGCCGTCTTGCAAGTTTCCGCGCCCGTACAACGAGTCTTGACCTGCCACGGCACGAGAGTTCACTGCCTCGCTCGATGTCGCGGCCGGAAACAAGCTACTGCCTCCGTCTCGCTCCATCATGCCCTGATTTCCAGTCCACGTCCCGTAACCCTTGATTGCAGTGGGTTGTACGCTGCGCTCGATACCGTACACCACTCCAGACGCTTCCGGCCGCACGCTCGAGGCATGCCCGTAAGGCCCTAAGCCACTACCAATCCGCGTTTGCTCCATAGCGTGCATACTCGATGCCCTGCCGATATACTCTCGCCCTCCTTCCGCATAGATTCTGTGCTCCTGTGTCCGAACAGGAACATATTCTCCCGGTGCAGCTAGCGGTCGTGCGGAGTACTCCCGATATCGACCTTCTCTATTCTCATAGGCGACATACTCGGGTTGTGTCAGAATACGCCTTGGGGGAGCGTATGGAGAAGAAGGTTGCGCAAACATGTATCCTCGCTCTTCAACAGCGCCTGACACCTGGTAACGTGCGAGAGACTGCGTCGGGGCTCGCTCATATAGCCTGTCCGGATCGCCTGTCAAAGGTGGCGGCGCTATAGAATGGCGCATCATCTGTCTTACGGGCTCAATATACTCGCGACCGTAGGCGTCAACCAGAATCCTAGCGGGCTGTGGTCTTGTAGACTCATGAAAAGCATCGCCCTCAGGATGAACACTGTAGCGAGTGGGCTGAGAAGAGTTTCTGTAGGGAAGCACACCATCCTGATACACATCAGAGTGGACCGGCCTACTTATGTGCGACCCGCGAGATGAATATTCGTAAGGCAGTACCTGTGGAACATGCTCTCTTCTGTAACCATCGTCAGTGATTACACGCTCAGTCACATATTCCCTTGGGGTTCTTGTGGTGCTTGACATCGCTGCTGCAGTAGCAAGATACATGCCGCTTCCATCATTATCGGCCGGTGCCCTTTCTTGACGATTGTGAGCTTGTGAGTAAGGCTCGTTGGGATCGATGGGCACGGCAGGCATAGCAGGGTCATATGAAGAGTCATCAAGGGCTGAATTCTGCTTCTGAGCCTTGCCCTGCCGTTGCCGTTTGTTGGGTCGGATGTATGACGGGCCGGCAAGTGGTGAAGGAGACCGGGGTTCGGCTTTGATATGCGGTGTCTTGCTTTCAGTAGACTGCTGGCTTTCCAATGCCTGTTTGTCCGACTTTCTCTTCTTTCTCTTATTTTTTCGTTTACTCTGTCCACCGTGTGACGAGCTGTCTGGGCTCGTCCGTGAACCTGGCTCACTTCGGAGCACCGCCACTTGAGCGGGGGCTCCGGTGCTCAGAGCAGGATTCTGCGTACTTGTATACAATCCGGGAATCTCGCTGATTTGCGTTGGCTGGACTGGGTAGCTGGTGGATGGGTAGACGGGCGTCACTTGCCCATTGATCCGAAGTAGTGGCGAAGGAGGGTGAAGATCGATATACGAGGATGGCTGAGTCGGCGCAGTCTGTCCGACAACAGATACAGTTGCAGATGACGCAATAGTATTGGGCTTGCTCAGATTCGTAACTGAATTGTCAGTGTAATTATTCAAACCTGGCACAGTACTCGGCTGCTCCTTCGCAGTAGAAGGCTCAGTGAACTCGTCATAAGTGCGAAGCTGGCGCGGCCCGTTCACACTACGTCGCGCGTCTTGGGTCTTGGCCGGTATCGTGTTTGCTGCGAGTATCTTCGTGGGAGTTGGGTGCGCGGGAGCCGCAGACTTGGCTGGAATTGGCGGTGCGGGCTCGAACTCGGGTGTATCGTGCTGCGACGAGTAGAACGTATTATCATCAAAAGAGTCATTTTCTGGCCCGTTGCCACTGTCGACTCCATCCTCCTTCTGAGCAGAAAGACGCGACTCTGGCACTAGAATCAAGGCGTCGGCGAGAATAGCCGACGCGTCAATGTCATTTTGTGTACCAAGGCCAAGCTTTCCTTTGCCATTTCTCTCCGCATCTTCTTGTAGCTCTTGCTCTATTCGCTTCCTTTGTAGTTGCAGCTCAGCGCGCAGCAATTGGTCAGATTTTGAAAGGGATACTAGGCCACACTCGGCGGGTCGTGCCGCGTCGGCCGTGGCAATCGAGGAACTTCCTACAACGGGCTGCGCATTCGAGGCAAATGCCTCGTTGGCTTGACCGGACAACTTTCCTGAATTCAATCCATGTGAAGCATCGGTGGACAGCGATAACGCAGCCTTCCGCAGATGGCCAGGGACTTTGATAGTGGCATGTTGACCAGCGAGAATTTCATCGCGAAAGCGAATGATCTTTTCGTACTGTTGCAGCACATGCGACTCGGCCTCCTGAGGACCAGGGGCCGAAATACCCGGCAACGCCATTTTGGTGATCGCGTCGATGCTAGCAAGAAGTTTGCTCGAGTTTTCTGCTTGAAGCAGTTTGTCTCGTTGGCCTGCTGCTTAATAGTCTCGAGCGCGACCAAGTGGCAAGTACGGTCACGACTCTGTCGTAACTGTTGCTCTTAATTCCTCGGTTGCGGATCAGCCAGTCGGCGCATGCAAAAAAAATCCACGTCCGGAGAATGCACGGGATCTTTATAAGAAGATGCAAGGAGCCATTCTGCTCCGCTGCTTTTCTTGTTTTTGTGTCCCGTAGATCTGTGTCAGGTCCATCGTTTTTCAATTTCGTATCGGGGGCGCGACATCCGCCGCCACCCAATGTTTCAGGCGGTGAGTCTGGCAGAATGGTCTACCACATGCAACGCAGCGCCTGCATTGGCGGATAAGGTGCGTTTCTGGCTCAAAAAACTGATGGGCATAGAATTTCTCTGGTGGAATTTTTCATCACTTGCTTTGTTCAGTATTTATCCAGTGGTATCCGGCTTTCAAACTAAGGCATACGTATTGCCATGTTCGTGCTCACCTTGTAGCCGTATAAAGACTCCAGCGTCGAGGCGTGGGGATGCTTGTCCATTGGTTGGCCGAATTAGCGGAGTGACTCAACTGAGCTTCTGCACAGCAATCTAGGTACTTGTCTATAAAATCCACGTACTCCGTACAATATATCTCGCACAACTTTTGCGTGGCAAAGGCCGAGCATTGATATTGGGTCGAATAGATAATCCTCATTCGACCGCAGTTGAAAACTGCATCTCATCACGATCAGAGACTGTCACAGCAAACTCCTCGGCACATTCCGGCATCATCATTTCAAAGCACTAGGTCACACCGCATCCTCGGCTTCAAAGCAACAACTGCTCGCCTGGTTCAATTCTTATCAAGAGTGACCAGAATGGCTGTCACGAATGGAGACAGGTCAAAATTGCCTGTCTTGTTCTTGTATGCGTCTTCAACCCACCTTGGCATTACCACTGAACTAACTTGGTCACGATAGCGACATTGACAACTGTCTCTATGCGCGAAGTAAGTTTCATACATATAGCACGTGAAAGCTTAGTCTAAATGAGGGCATAGGCACAAAAGTACAAGAGCTCATGTCTGAGCTTATTGACAAATTCTTTGCCCAGCATCTGAGCCTGCCCCACGAGGAGGCGGTGCGGCTACACACGGAGTACTACACAAATTACGGTCTGGCAATTGAGGGCCTCGTGCGACACCACGAGATTGATCCTATGGAGTATAACGCCAAGGTAGACGACGCTCTGCCGCTGGAATCGATCATTAAGCCGAATCCGGAGCTGCGCCAGCTTCTCCAGGACATTGACAGAAGCAAGGTCAGGCTATGGCTGTTCACCAACGCCTACAAGACGCATGGCGAGCGTGTTGTGAAGCTCATCTGTATCGAGGATCAGTTTGAGGGATTGATATACTGCGACTATTCTGCGGTGCCGTTTGTCTGCAAGCCTGGTCTTGAGAGCTACAAAAGGGCCATGCGTCAAGCTGGCATTGAGAACCCCGCGGACTGCTACTTTGTCGGTAAGTTTTGACCTCCTACTTTTGAGGTCCATAGACTAACTTTATCAACAGATGATTCGTACAACAATTGCAAGAATGCCCAGGCGTTTGGGTGGACCGCCGCACACTTGGTTGAGGAGGGCCTCGTGGAACCTGCGACAAAAGCCTCGCAATTCCAAATCAAGCATCTGAGGGAGCTCCGTGACATTTATCCCCAATTTTTCAAGTCCAGTTGATTGGATTCTCGAAGAGATTAGATAATTGCGGTGTTGATTCAAGAGAACGCCATCGAGTGATAAATACAATGCGGCCATGTGAAGGACCATTTTCCCAAACTCCTCGCTACCTTGTGCCATGAAATACAGACAGATTTTTTACGCCTCTCGAAGCTGTCTAAGGTCGTCGGATGCTGCAAATCACCGAGTCCAGTTGCGTCAGGATCGCGTCGCGCTCCTTTAGCGCTTCTTGTCTCTCGGCCTCTGCCGCTTTCAGGTCCTCCTCGAGGTCCTTGATGGCTCTCTCTTGATCTTGCTCGCTGTTATTCAAGCCCGGCAGAAGCGAAATCAGATACTCAATCTGCTGCTCTTTGAATACGAGATCGCGCGAGAGTTCGTTCAAACCGGCTGCGAATTCGTCTGCGGGGAGAGGGTCAACTTTTGCGGGCATGTTAGCACAGACAATTGAATTTTTTTGTGTGTGTTTTTGCGCGCTTCGAAATCTACCTTCTTTCTGGTTTGGCTCCTGCTTGACATCGCGAATCTTGTCATTCGGGCCCAGGGTCTCGAGATCGTGTCGGCGATGGACAAAGTGCAGACTTGCGACAAATTGCTGCGCGAGCTGCGGACAAGAAGGTGTCAGTACCTCTCAAAATACGTACATTGCGCTGCTAACCTGATCAACAGCATCTTGCAGCTGAGTCAGACTGTCGCTCATTGTTGCTGCGCGCTGCTCGAGACGGTAAATAAAAGCAGTTGGGCAAAGCTTCTTGAGGCTTTGCGCCGCACGCAGACACGCAAATGCGCCAGCAGGTTCGCGCAGCGAAAGAGCGCTAAGCGCTACGCCGCTACCTGATTGGAACCTGGACGGATCGCGGGCAATAGACGATCCGGCGCAACCCCCCCGCCCAGACTCCAGCGAACCAGAGCAAAGCCACCTGGTCAGAAAAGTGAACACCCCTGTTGTGTGATAGGTGTCATTCTAGACCACCTTACTCCTCTGCAACTTGCACACTAGCTTTCGACTTTTTTTCCCTCCTCGCTGGGTTTCCGCAATTTGGACTCGCCATAGTTTGATTTCGTTTTTCTGCATACCTCCTACCGAAGAGGTATTTTCCTTCAATCACCCGACCCCGAGAGGAAAAAACAACAGCCACAAGGAACATCCCAATGTCTGCGCAGCCGCCGCCTCAACAGCCTCAGGGCGGCATGCCCATGCCAGGCCAGCAGCCTACGCCCGAGCAGATTGCGGAACTGCAGCGTCGAATCACGGAGGATGCGCAAAAGGCCGGCATGACGGTTCCCGAGTTCATCGAGCACATCAAGCGCCAGCGCATGCAGGCTATGCAGCAGGCCCAGGCCCAGCACCAGCACGGCGGCGACGGGCACGACCACGACCATGGCCACTCGCACGATCACGACCAGGACGGCCACGGTCACTCGCACCCGCACCAGCAGCAGCAGGGCCAGCCCCAACCCATCACGCCGGGACCTCCTAACCCCAAGGCCATTGCGCTGGCCAAGTTTCTGCGCGGGCAAGAGCTCAAGCCTCGCACAGTCATTCTCAACGGCGAGCGCAAAGACATGTTCCGAGGTATGATTATTCACTCAAGAAGTCTTCTTGCGGTTTGAAAAAAAAAATGAATGAGCTCTATTTGCTAACAGGGAGCCCCCCCCCCCCTCCGAATAGTCAAGCGTGCGCTGCGAGTGCTCCAGTCCCCCGCCTACGAAAAGGCTCGCAAGAAGAACCCCCTCTTGCCCGAGATCAACGACCGCGCGTCACTCGAAAACACCTTTAAGCTGCTGCCCCTCAGCATGCTTGCCCTACGAGTCTCCCAAATTGAGCCCGCCCTGGGTGCCAACGGCAAGAAGCCCAAGCGCGTTAAGGGCCAATGGAACGTGCGCATCGAACAGCAGCAGGAAGCTCAGGAGGAGATGCACTACGTCTGGTTGTGGGAAGGTAGCCAGGTCAGGCGCCAGGTGTATGCTGCTCTCGCTCTCGTCGCCATCTTCGCCGTCGTTCTATACCCTCTCTGGCCGCTCAAACTCCGCCAAGGTGTCTACTACCTCAGCTGGGGCATGCTTGGTCTCCTCGGTCTCTTCTTCGCCATGGCTATTTTCCGCGTCATTCTGTTTTGCATCACATACTTTGCCGTTCCCCCCGGTCTGTGGCTGTATCCCAACCTCTGGGAAGACGTTTCCTTCATGGACAGCTTCCGCCCTGTCTGGGCCTGGCATGAGGTAAGATGATTGGCTTTTTGGTATCTGGTCGCTCAGAATGGCATGTACTAACAACAAGCTCGTCAGACTGAAAAGCCCAAGAAGAAGAAGAAGCGTGCGCAGCAGGGTGGTGCGACCAACTCGACCATGGCCGCCGCCGCTGGACAAGTCGCGCCCACCAGCGCGACAACGACCGGCACCGATACCCAGATTAACACGGGAGCTCAACAGCGCTACGTGGCCCCCAAGGTCGAGGAGCTCCAGGATGACGAGTAAACAGCGACGGTATATATGTGAGTGATTTGGTGGATAGCGAGAACGAGGCGCAAAACATGCACAAAAAATATTGCGAGTGGCATTTACTTTCAACCAATGTCAGGCCAGCTTGAGGAGCGCAGTGGAGGAACAAGTTTCACGTTGCTGGAGTTTCTGTATAGACTTCTTTTTCCTAATATTTAGTGCGCGGAATGACGAAAATGGACATTGTTCGGTGTTGGCGGCACTAATTCACGACCATGCATTATCAAGAACGCTTTGAAAATCAGTCAAACAGCACATGCGAGTATACCTCTAATGGAGCTCCATGTTTGCGGTTTATTGCCAGTCACAGGCATAATGTACAGCCCAGCATCTCGTCTATTCTACTTTTGGCAGCCCGTGATCTCGCTGCCCTTGGCGCGCTTGTAGTACCAGATGGCGTTGTCAGCTTTGGCGCAGTTGCCGAGGCTGCCGCCCGCTACGTCGGCGTCCACGCGGACAATGTCCTTGCTCTGGACGCGGCCGACGACGTGGTTGTAGTACCAAACCTCCTGGAACTGTGTGCGGCCACTGTCGCCGGAGCCCTTGCCGGCCGCCGTCTCGTTGTACTTGGGGCCGCCGCAGCCCAGGTAGGGAACCTTGCCGTAGCCCGACTTGAGGGCGTCCTGGATGTGGGAGAGGCTGTAGGCGGTCGTGTTGGAGGGCTTGATGCCGGCGTTGGCGAGCCAGTGCCAGGTGGGCAGGTCCTTGTAGTAGCTGATGACGGTCTCGAAGAACTCGAATAGGTCATCGTACTTGTTGGCCTTGGGACCCTATGTGATGATAGGAATTACGCCATTAGCAGAATGTGCCAGTGCGGAGAAAACAGGCCAAAGAAGGGGCCATGCACATACGAAGCACTCAGTCTGAAAGGTAGAGAAACAAGTGGCATGCTTGGAGTACTCGTGCGCCCAGAGAACCCAGTTGCGGTCACCTTGGGCGATCCAGTGCTTGTTCATCCAGGCAAGAAGGTCAGACTTGCCGTACGGCGCAAACCACTTGTCAATGGATTCGCCCTTGTAGGGCGGGACAGGGGTGCCGCTCGGAGTGCCAGTGGTGGTGTTGGGCGACGGCTTGGGGTCATACTGACGGTTCAGGTCGCAATACTGCGTGTACGAGCCTTGGTATGACAATTAGAAGTTAAAGTAATATCCAGCCGAATTTGAGTCAAGACTTACCGTTACAAAAGTCTGGAGGTGGTGAAATGGTCAGCAGATGAAAAGGACGCCCGAGGTAGGAATTTTGTCGCTTACCAGGCCACAGGCCGTGAATGGTCCACGACTTTTGAGGCAGAATTTGGCCCTCGCTCTCGAAACCGGTATAAACGTCCCAGAACTGGGTTTGGAGCTATGTCGTCATGTCAGTTCAACTATTTTAATAGGTACAACGGCCAAGCCGTTGCGCCAAGCCGGGCTGTATCCATACCACCAAGCCTCCGAATGTCTCGGAGCAGCAAGTGTCGACCTTGCCGGGAACAGCATCTGCGGAGCAAGAGAGGACGGGCTCGCCTGTAGTAAGCAATTAGCCAGTTTGGTCTCTGGAACGGCTATAGGGTCGTGTTTTCGGAATCGCAGACGCACTCAAGACACAGCTGTGGTTGTCAGTGGTGACGCCGGGATACAGAGCGGCGGTGGCCAACGGGACGAGCGCCGCAGCGGGGAGGATGGCGGCGGGATTGACCATTGTCGCTAGTCGATCAAAATTGAAGAGCCAATGGATATTGAAAAAAAAAATCGGTCAGGGACAAAGAAAGGAATAAAAACGGCCAAGCCGGCCGGCGGACAGCGGCAGGTCTTTATCTGACGGCCTTCTCTTTTGGTGTTAGTTGGGGTACGTCGAGCTACATAAAGTAGCGAGGCGGCCAATTGCGGGTCAGAACTTTTGACGACGCCATGCATGGTGGTTGGAGCTAAGTTCCTGGTAGAATTTAGTAAATTTGATCGGATCGATAATATGGAGTGTCTTCAGCTGCTTTTCCTCCTTGTTCGGAGGGTCAGATTATGCAATTTGCTGCGGAACAATGCCGAACTACTAACACATGCAGGCGGCGCCGAAGCTCGGGGCTTCTACAGGCCAGGAGCAATTGAAGCACCTGGGGAAATGCGGCGCTGTGGTAGGCCAATTGAGGCCCTGAGAGGCGCACACGCTAGCGCTAGTTAATGCCGTTAATGCTGATGATTGCACGAACATGGCTGGGCTTGGCCGAATCTAGCACCTTAATGGGCGGCTTTATTGGGCGGCGTCCACGTCTGGTAGTTAGGGCCCGGCCTTGTGTGGAACAAGAGAGTCGTGAGAGGGGCTGGATAACAAGACATTTGCCGCAGCTGGCAGTTTTTGCGTCAACTATCAATAATCGATGCCTTGAACTTTGCAATGCTTCGTACAACATTGCTCAGAAAGAGGCCCCATCGACGGAGCCTACTAAATGACGCGCGAGCCCACGTGTGCGCCGTAGTAATCAAGTAGCAGCAACTTGGTATTTTGTTTGGTCGTCTTATATCAGCCATCAACGCGCAACTCAACATCAGGCTTGGCCATTCATTGCTTTAGTCGCTGTGCGCTTGCGCCGAGATATCTTTGTAAAAGAACGTGCTAGCCTTCAGCTCTCCCGTGGGGCTGATGCCGTGATTGGGGACTTTGCCCACCTCCGTGTATCCTAGTCTCTTGTAGATGGCCTCTGCTGGACTTCCAGTCTCTGTGTTCAGAAGCTGCAAGGCAATGTGTCAGCAACGTGCAGTCCGCGCTCAAGCCTAGGCAAACATACCAGCAGTGTCCGCTGCCGTCTCAACGCCTCTGCTTCCAATGCATTCATGAGCAATTTCGCGCCGCTGCGCCCTCGAAATCGTTTGTGCACCAGCAGCTTCTGAACACTGCCTCGGAACGGCCCGGTTTCCGATGATGGCATAAACAGCATGACGACTCCCATGATCTCGGGTCCTTTTATGTGGCCAGAGGGATCCATGCCATCTACCAGCAGAAACATGACCCGGCTTCCCTCCGCAATCTCTGCTATGCAGCTCTTCCACCATGATAATAGCTTGTCGTGCGAAAGCGGCGGCAAAAAGGTAGCTATTGTGCGGTCATGCGTGATGCAGGATCCGTGAATTGCGGCAAGATATGGCGTCACGTGGGAATGATTTTTGATATCAAAAAGGACGATAGATGCAGAGTCTGACATGGTGCGGCTATCGGATAGGCCAGTCTAGCGGCTGCAAGTGATGCGCGTTGTGCAGAGATACTCTGATGCAGACCAAACAGGGTAGTTGGAAGTGTAGGTAGGCAGGCAACGTTTCCGAGACGGAATGCGTCTGCGCATGTGGTCGAGTGACGCTCGGCTGCTGCTACAGACTGACAACCATACGTGTTTTCGAGTAGAATACACCGTTGTGCGGACGGATCGGCACGTCGATGGTTGTGGAGGGTTTCTGCTTGAATCGTGGATAAGGTCAGTGGAGACTACAGGTCAAGGAACAAGAAGCCACCATCGCCAGTCGAGCCTAAAACATCGCTTCCGTCTTTTCCTTAATAATAGCAGCATCCAAGTGGGCAGTTGAAAAAAAAGAAAAAAGAAAAAAGAAAAAAGAAAAACCGCCAGAATGGCTGCTTGTAATAACATACATGTCTCTGGTATTCTCTTCTATTTATTCTTTCCATCTGGTCTTAGCTATTTTACTCGTCTTTGTTGTTCTTTTTACCTATCATTTTGATGTACTCTTATTTTCCTGGCATCTCTCATTCGATCCATTGAGCTCATTGGCTTGATCCAATATACATTTATTTTCTATTGCTCACTTTTGAACACATGCAGTTTGTTTTCGCTCCCTGTGTTGCTGTCGCACAACGAGTGCGATTGTGCGCGCAGCTGAGGAAAAAGTCAACGAAGGAATGGATCAAGAAAATGGGGTTACAGGAAGAGGAGTAAGCAAAACAACAAGCACCTTTTCTCCATCTCTTATTGCTTCAGCAACAATCTTCACAGTGGCCGACCTTTTGCGTTTGTAAAGAGCTCGCCTGGCTCTTGCGCTATTCCTTCAGGCAGGCACCTGCCGCGACAAGTCAACCCTCCACTGGTTTGTATTCCATCCTCCAAATAGAAACTCAGTAACTTCATCATTATATGCTAGGCCTTTTAAGTCTTACAACCACTACCTATACCTTGCCTCGCTGCCGAGGTTGCATCCCACGCTCATGTGCAGACTTCAGCGTGACCGCTGGTAACTAGCAGACATGGCTCGAGCTGATGGCGCATCATAACTGACCAACCTCCAGGTCCCCAGCCTCCAATGTTCGACGCTGCTCTTGCTATGCGAAAGACAATATCAAACATTGTTGTGTTCATCCAGGCTCCGTCATCGCCACCTCGAACAACGCTCCTTCAGGCATAGTGCCCGATTCCCAAGCCTCCCAAGCTCACCACGATACGCCTTTCAAAAAGGTCGAGGCTGGAATCGAGGCGCTTTTTGCCGGCGAGAAGCATTCCCACTCCCATCTCGGATATGTGTGCGATTACTTGCATCCCGAGTTTTCAGTCAATCGCTACCACTCTTTCGCGCCGGAAAACACTGGTGATGCGAAATGGTTTGTTGACGGCTGCTCCTACTTTCACGCAGTCTCTGAGGCGCTCGAGCGTGAGTATCCCAAATCATAGATTTGAGTTTTCTGCTTGACTAACGATGCTGCACAGGAGCCCAGAAATCTATTTATATTCTCGATTGGTGGCTGAGTCCTGAACTGTACCTTCGGCGGCCACCTTCGAAAAACCAACAGTATCGCTTAGACGCCCTGCTTAAAGGTGCTGCTGAGCGGGGTGTCACTATTAATGTCATCCTTTACAAAGAAGTACCTGCTGTACTCCCAATAGATTCCGAGGTGAGTTACTCTGTTGCAAACTTCAGCACTCAAACACCGCTCATCGAAATCGTCACAGCATTCCGAAAAGGCCCTCGAGGCTCTACACCCCAATATTCATGTCTTCCGTCACCCAGACCATAACCCCACTGGGTATGATATCGAGTCTGAGCTTGGCATAGCATTCAAGGATCTTACCCACTTTGACCTTGCCAAGGCCTCGCACGCTGCTATTAAGGCTATTTACGGTGTCAAGGATGATACAGTATTGTATTGGGCACACCACGAAAAGCTACTCATAGTCGACAAAAGCCTTTGTTTTATGGGTGGTCTGGATCTTTGCTTTGGCCGCTGGGATACAAATAGCCATCCAATTGCTGACGCGCACCCCGGAGACCTGGATGCAATCATTTTTCCTGGTCAAGACTACAACAATGCTCGGATTCTTGACTTTGCCAACCTGGACGACTGGAGCCAGAACAAGTGTACAACTCATGTGCCGTCTTTCTTGAACTTTTGTTTCTAGACTAATCAATCTCATCGTAGTGGACAGGACACAAAATTCGAGAATGGGATGGTCTGACGTCTCGCTCTGCATGACAGGCAGCATCACTCACAGTTTCGTCAATCATTTTGTCGACCGATGGTACGCACTTTATGCTCACTACTCTCCAAATTTCTCACACAAACTAGGAATTACGTGTACGGAGTAAAGTACGGTGAACAGAATGATAGCAAGTACAAGCCCATGGACGCGCCAGGTGCAATCGAGGAAGTTGGAAAGACTGTGTCTCGTGCGACTGGTTCACGCAGAAGACGATTCGCCAATTCCCTAAAGAGACGATTCACCCAAGGCCTGCGCGGCCTCAGTCGAAGCAGAGATGCAATTAAAGAGCAGAATCTGAATATTCAGCTCACACGCAGGTAGGACCAGCTTTCAGACAGAGTCAATGTACCATTGCTAATATGATCAGCTGCACTCGCTGGTCTTCTGGCCACCGCACGGAGCACTCCATTGCCAATGCTTATGTTGATGCAATTCTCAAGGCTCAGCATTTCGTGTACATTGAAAATCAGGTGAGGAAACCCTGCTTCGGAGGTTCGCAAGTTTGCCGGCTCGGTCGCGTTCCTAATTCGTCTAGTTCTTTATTACTGCGACTAGTAGTCAGCAACACCCCGTCGTGAACAAAATTGGCGCAGCTATCGTTCAAAGAATCCAGCGCGCTCACTTCAATGGTGAACGTTTCAAGATGTGGGTTGTGATACCTGCCGTTCCAGGGTTTGCTGGCGATCTCAAGTCCAACGATTCACTGGGTACTCGAGCCATTATGAAGTACCAGTATAACTCCATCTCCCGCGGAGGTCATAGTATCATGGAGAGTCTACGCCAAACCGGCATAAATGATCCGCAAGAATACATCAGTTTTTACAACCTGCGAAACTTTGACCGCATTAATACGTCTTCCACAATAGAAGAAGCTGAGAATGAAGCTGGAGTCGAGGATGAAGGGGCGAGAAAGAACGACGACCAAGTTGGCTCATGCCATTGTCTCGAGGCAGAAGGTACTTGTGGAAATTCGAATTCTTGCCGAGAATACCAGGTGCAATCTCAGACAGTCGTGAACCAGACAAAGAATGCGGCATACATGCATCAACGAGACGGGCTCTCGCACTTTGTCTCGGACGAAGATGCGGATGCCGAAATGGATGCGTTTGTCAGCGAAGAACTTTACATTCACACGAAGCTTCTTATAGCTGACGATCGCCTTGCTATTTGTGGCTCTGCTAATCTCAATGATCGTTCCCAGCTGGGTACTCATGATTCAGAAATCGCCGTTGTTATCGAGAATGGCTCGCCAATCTCTAGCACTATGGACGGCAAGCCGTACCAAGCCTCCAAATTTGCTTCATCTCTTCGTCGCGAAATCTTCCGCAAGCACCTAGGTCTGCTCCCGCATCAGGATCCCGAGCAGCCCAATGCAAACTGGCATCCCATCACGGAAGCTCCCAATAATTATGATTGGGGCTCCCCCGCTGACGTTCTGGTCCGCGATCCCTTGGATCCCGACTTTGTTGACCTCTGGCGGGCAACAGCGAAGACCAACACGGAGATATTCCGAAGGGCTTTCCATTCTGTGCCCGACGATACGGTGCGCACATGGAGAGACTACGATGAATTTTTTACCAAATACGTCAAGACACCTGCAGACACTGAAAAGGAAGAGCAGACTATGAGTGAAGAAAACAATGCCAAGAAAGACGATGCAAAAGCAGATGTCGAACACCAAGGCAGTACTCAAGAGGGCAGACAAGATGGAAACAAGGATGCGAGCAACAGCACCGACGCAGAGTTCAGCAAAGAGAACAAAGAACTGCAGCAGGTCGAGGAGACCGCTCGAGACCAGGAAGAGGCTCAAGTCGATCGGGATATTTCCGAGTTGGACGATAAGAATAAAGACGGCAACAAGGCTGAGCAACCATGCAAGACGGGCGATGAGGAGTCGTCTGAGCAGTCAGAAAAAGCGGAATACGGACACGTTGTCCGCAAGGAGTTTCCCGGGGGCGCAGAGGAGCTCCGAGAATGGCTTGGGCGCGTGCGAGGGAGCCTTGTTGAGATGCCGCTCAACTTTTTGATCGACGTCGACGACATTGCCAAGAAGAGCTTGGGGTTCAACAACTTGACGGATGAGATTTACACCTAAACAAGTCTTGTTACACCTATATCGCCATGCCTATAGAAGAACTATGTCATGTTTACCGCGTTTCTAGCTGTATTGTGCTTGTATATCAACTCGTGCCAAGTAGAAGAAAAAATCATGAACAAGAGAAAAGAAATAAAAAAGAAACAGGAAAACACTACGGAGATATCAGCACACACCAAAGCAGTACAAAGAAACAATAAGCAAAGTTCCCCCAAAACTCCAAATTTGCAGCTGCGCAACTTCTCCGTGCATAAAACCCAAAGCAACAGGCCCCGCGGCGATACCCAAGTTAAAAGTCCAAAACAACCAAGGCCCATCGACGTGCAAAGTTGGCAAGTTCAAAGACGATTAGTCAGCCTTTGTGTTTCCGTTGACACTACCGCCCAACAGGCCATCCTTGTATTCCCTCATGCCACTGAGGGAATCATCTAGACGGAAGTGGCCGCCACGGCGGCCCTTGCGAGCACGGAACCATGTCAAGGCACCATAGGCAACACCGCACACGCTAAGGAGGGACAGGATTGGGTGATCTCGGAAGGTGACGCGAATGTCAAAGAAAATCTTCTCGATGAACGAGATAGTTAGTTTGGGTTTGATGACTTGGGGTCCATAGACAATCTTGTCCAAAGTCTCCATGATGGACGTGCGGCTGACGAGAATGTGATTGCCAGTAACGGTAGTGTCCCAGTACTTGCGACTGGCTTCATCATTGATGATGATGCGCTCGCCATCTTTGTCCTTGATGTCGATGCCGTAGGTGGTGCGGAGCCAACGCTGCCAGAAAATGCCGTCAACCCAAGCAAAGGCAACCTCTTTGCGGTTCGAATTATCCATGTTGATGCGAATCGACTTGGCGCTTCGCAAAGCACGCTCGTCGTTTCGGTCTTCGGCTTCTTCGATTCTCATCTGCTTGGCATCTCGAAGCTTCTTGCGCTCAAGCTGGAATTCCTGAATCTGGCGGTCCATCCATTCATTGGCAGCGCTCTTCATTTCGCGTAGCGAGCTCTGAATAGTTTCTGGATCGCCGTCCTTTCTCTCCAAAATTCCTAGCACGACAAGCTTGTTCTCCATGATCTGGCGAGCGTTGGTGGCAGTAAGCTCAGGTACTAGTGGAAGCCAGACTGATTTCATCCAATCAAGAATACGACGGTAATCGCGCATTTCATTGGGTGTGAAAGGTGTGTAATAAGTCGGGCGTCCCTCGCGAGAGACAATCAATCTTGGCCAGGTGGTGATCTTGAAGCGCTTGTAAAGCTCAGGATCATTCGTCTTGACCAGCTTGGCATGGCCAATGAGGCTCAGAGGGATTCTCTCGAGGGCGGCAAAGTCCTCGGAAGTAGCAGCATGGTCGTAGAAGTAGGTAAAGATAACCTCTTCGGTTTTCTCAAGCTCCGTAAAGCCCTCAGCATCGATATCGGGAACACCACTGGCGAGATCAATGGCACTGTCTGCATACTTGGTGAAGTCCCCGATGCCACGGAGACCACGGTATTCAACTCGCTCGCCTCCTTTGAAGAAAAGAATGGTAGGGTAGGCCTTGGCGTGAACGTCCTTGCACAAGCGCTTTTCCTGGTCGCAATTGACCTCGCCAATGTTGAGCTTTCCGCGCATAGATTTCGCAAGCTGCTCCCAGGTTGGCTTCAAAGCCTGGCAGTGAGAGCACCAAGGGGCATAGAACTTGATGAACCACGGATCGTGCGAAAGAGTAACGTGCTTCTGGAACGACTCAGCCGTCAGGGACACGGAGACACCGTCCAAGTTGTAATTGTCGGGGATCTTCTTGGGGGGTTTAGCAACAGCTGGAGTCTTCTTTGCAGGCACTGGGGCTTCTGTTGCGCTAGGCTCGGGCAGCGCAAGATCCTTGGGGCGAGAGCCGGGTTTGTCCTCCTCGAGTGCCTTTTCAATCATTTCGCTCATATCGGCAATAGTGTGCTGACCAGTGAGAGATTTGACCTTCTTTCCGTTCTTGAAGAGTGTAGTCTGGGGCCATGCGTTGACTTCATGCTCGGAACAAAAGTCGCTGTGGGCAACGCAATTCAGTGAAGCGAATTGTAGATCACCGACAGCGCCTGCATCGTCGCTCTTGGGCAGAGGGTTCATGGCATAATAGAACTCGTAAAGAGTTTGGTATACGGGTGCAAACGCGGTGCAGTGGTGGCAATAGGGACTGGAGAGTCTGTCAGACGGTTTGCTAGTCCACGGGGTAAAGTATGCCTACCTGTAATGCTTAACAACGGTGAATTTGGTCTTGTTAACGTCGGTCTCCCATGTTGAGGGCGAGAATTCTGGCAGAGGAGGAACAGATATGCCGCCAAATTTTGTCGGTTCACTCTTGGTTTCTGCTGCAACGCTGATCGCAGTTGCCGCAAAAAGGGCGATCTGGAGCAGCCTCATGTTGGGCTACTGTGTACTGTTTTCTTTTTTTTTGTTTTCTCCAGTGAGCAACAGATAAATCCCTGCAATATTGTGTATCGGTGTGTCGATGACGCAGCCTTGTCGTCTGCGAGGCGGGATTGCTGGGAAGCAATGTCAGAATAGGATCAGCACGGGGTAGCTTTGGTCAATGCTAACCCCTTCTGGTGGAAAGTTGTAGGGCGATGTATGCGTCGCGGCGGAAGGCTTTGGATGGCTAAATATTAGACTGCGGTTGAGAGTCGCATAGTATGTAGGAGGGGGTAAAGGGGCCTCTCGTCCACGTAACCGACAATGCCAGTTGCAACGATGGTGGAGGATATAAGAAAGAGAAGATCGCGAGAGGCTTTGGCCAGGGAGGCGCAAACGGCGCCCCTGCAACAGCCTGAAGCACACTTCGGGAGGCCAAGTGTGGGTCACAGTCCGGAAACAGAGTCAGTAGTTAGCCACGTTGCGGATTGGTAATGTGGCTGATAGATCACTGACCACGTCGCCGCCACATAACGGGTTCATGTGTCCTTTGTGGCTTAGCTGGTAGTTAGCGCGCAACGGAACTTATAATACAGACTTTACCTAATTGCTAGACAAATACATCATCTTGCGCTTCTGTACATGTCTCGCAGAAAAGGTCTCGACGCAATAAGTTTGTGTCGCCCTCAGCTCAATTGTTATTCATATCGGGCTGAACTTCTTGTGAGAGGCCTCCATGCCATCCATGGACGGCCGAAACAAACGGCCACTCGAGGCAAGGTCTCCAGACGGACTCAAATCTCTCTCACGCTCAATCAGTCCACCCAGATCAAAGAAGCAGAAGGGCACTGAAATTTTCCCTTCCCCGTTTCGTCTTACCTGGGTTCGAGATCTCGAAGAGGAGAACAATAAGGATGCCGTCACCCTTTCCGACTTGCTGGGCGACCCATTGATCAGCGAGTGCTGGAGTTTTAACTATTTGCACAGCATTTCTTTTCTAATGGATGCATTCGACCGTGATATTAGACCACATGTAAAGGTTCATATTGTTCATGGCTTCTGGAAGAGGGAAGATGGAAATCGCATCGGCCTGGTTGTATGTGAACCACTGCTTCGCACATTTATTGCTAAGGAACCCTGACGCTCATCGCTGATAGGAACAAGCGGCACTGTTTCCCAATGTAAACTTACACGCCGCGCCTATGCCAGAAATGTTTGGCACTCATCACTCTAAGATGCTGATACTCTTCCGCCGGGACGACACAACTCAGGTGATTATACACACAGCCAACATGATAGCCAAAGACTGGACCAACATGACGAATGCGGTGTGGACATCACCAGTACTTTCGAAGCTGAAGAAAGTACCAGATGATCCGTCATGGCGGGAAGATATGGCACAAGGCAGTGGACACCGGTTCAAGTCTGATTTACTTAGCTATCTCCGATGCTACGACAGGATGCGGCCAACATGTAACGCGCTGGTGGAGAGCTTGAAGGAATACGACTTTTCTTCGGTAAGAGGAAGCCTAATTGCCAGTGTTCCGGGAACACATGAAGTACATGGGGACCCCGGTGTCACATCTTGGGGCTGGAAAAGCATGAGCAAATGTCTGCAGCAGATACCTTGTGAGCCAGGGGTTTCGCAAGTGGCCGTGCAAGTATCTTCTATTGCGACGCTGGGCGGAAACGATGGGTGGCTGCGCGGGACTCTCTTCAGGGCACTTTCGAAGGGCAAAGTAGCCACGGCGCTGTCACCACAGTTCAAGGTAGTCTTCCCTACGGCTGATGAAATACGGGCCTCGCTGGACGGGTACGCATCGGGAGGATCGATTCACACCAAGATACAAAGTAAACAACAGCAGATGCAGCTCAATTATCTTCGGCCAATTTTTCATCACTGGATGACAGACGATGACTCAAGGACTGGTAAGCAAAAGCAGCGACTGTCATCGATGTTGCTGGACATGTGCTCACGCTCTATTTACTTGACCAACAGCAGGTGACTTTCGTGATGCTGGCAGGGATAAAGCGGCGCCGCATATAAAAACATATATACGCACAAACAAGAATGACACGATAGACTGGGCATTAGTAACATCGGCAAACTTGTCGAAGCAAGCGTGGGGAGAAGCAGCCAAACCCACGGGGCAGTTTCGAATAGCGTCGTGGGAGATTGGCGTGCTCGTATGGCCGTCGCTGTTTAAAGACGACGCGATAATGAAGGGATGCTTCAAGGAGGATACACCGGGGTCGAGAGAGGCGCAAGGCCAGCTGGGTGAGGCTGGGGCTGTGGTGGGATTTCGGATGCCATATAGCTTACCCCTGCGCAGGTATAGCAGAGAGGAGACGCCGTGGGTGGCAACAATGAGCCACGAGAAGGAGGATCGATTGGGACAGTGCTGGTTAGTGTAGCGCGGGGAATGATGCAACAAGATGGGACGATGGATATTTCCAAGTAGCCAAGTAACCAAGCAACCAGTAAGCCATGTTTGCTATGCACCCTCGGCAACCCAAGTTGTGGATGGGGATGGGCGGAGGTGATGTCGAGTCGGGCGGGATTGACGATGCAGCAGGCAAGTCAGAAGAGGATCTGATCCGCGGGTACCGATGGCTGTTGGAGCCTTGGATGAAGCCTGGAAGCCTTACCTACAGGTATTGAATGATGCTGTGCCCAAGTGCCGCCAGGCATGCCAGGTGCCAGGCAACAGGCAACAGGCTGTCACACCGACGCAGCTAGTACCGGAGTACTGGGCTTGTGGGCTAACAAATGACAAGGTGGCGCTGTTTATTGCATGCAGCGACTCAGACATGAATTACCTTAATTACTTACAGACTACCTACAGTACGAATACGGACTACAGTACCAACTATTACCAGTATTTTGTACTTGATTCAAGAAATGACGGTAGACTGTCGTCTTGTCCTTGGCTCTTTCCTGTCCTCACAATACCTATTTTCTACGCCGACTTTTTCGTCCGATGTTTCCAAGCTTTTTCTGCGCCTCTGAACCTTGTGTTTAAAATTTTCTTTCTTCAATCCCCTTGGCACGGCCACCGTCGGTCTATTCATCCTGATCTTGACAGAACATTTTTTTTTTTTTCCTTCTTCTGCTTCATCATCATCATCTTCTTCTTCTTCTACTTCCTCCTCGAATCATTGCAAGTCCAGACCAACAAACGATTCCTTCATTTAGTCAGCGCTGTTCCTCATCCCACTGGTCCCCGCAACTCGTTTGCCGCAACCATCACACTTTTTTGCACTACCTAGGTAGTTACAATCAAAGTACTATTTTCCTCGACGTTCTGGAGCGGTCTTGCTCCCCTTCCGTTTCGTTTTGGACGGCCCTCGCCCGCAGACCAACAGCTACTTATTGCTTCGGACCTTTTTCCAACTCAATTGACCTCGCCACAACCCGTAGACTGCCTGCTAGACAAGCTCGTCATGAGTCTCCCCAAGTCGAGCGGCTCCGCCAACCGCATCGGCGGCGGTGGTCTCTCGGCCTCGTTTCACGCTTCCTCGCCGCTCGCCGAAGCAGTCGCCCGCGACATTGCCGAGTGCTCCGACGATGACGACGACAATAACCAGAACCTCGTCGAAGAGGGCGGCCACGACCACCACCACTACGGCAGCCTCGGCGGCAGCACCATGTACCGCCGCCCTTCTGGCGTTGCGTACGGCGCATCCCGTCCCATCTTTGACCACCGCACACCCGACGAGCCCGCGACGACGCCTCTGGAGCGCAGGCAGTCCCGTCAAGCGGAGCGCAGCCTGCTCCGCGATAACCACATCCTGCCGCCCAAGCACCAGCACCGCGGCCGGGGTCTCGTTGCCCGCCTGTACCGCCGCCTGTTCAGCACAAAGGTGCCCGCCGGCGACGACTACGCCGCCAATGGCGTCGACGGCGAGACGGCGCCCCTGCTGCACGGACATCCCGGCGATACCACGCCCACCGACAGCGACAGCGAGGACGTCGAGCAGCAATGGGTCGATGCTGTGGCCAGCGGCCGCATCCGCACCACTTGGCAGCGCGAGACTAAGACGGTAGTCACCTACAGCATCCCCCTCATCACCACATTTGCCCTCCAATATTCCATCAATGTCGCTAGTATCTTCGCCGTTGGCCGAATCGGCAAGATAGAGCTCGGCGCAGTTTCTTGTAAGTCTGGCCCTCAACCTACTACCTTGGGTTTTTTTACACGTAGCATTCCGCTCAAGCTAATAACCGCTCTCCCTCGCAGTGGCCAACATGTCCAATGCCATTACCTGTCTTGCTCCTTTCCAGGGCCTGGCAACCAGCCTCGACACCCTCTGCGCCCAAGCCTACGGATCCGGCCACAAGCATCTCGTGGGTCTACAATGTCAGCGCATGGCTCTTTTCCTGCTCTCCCTGTCCGGTCCTGTCATTTTGATCTGGTGCTTCTCGGAGCAGATCCTCGTACACCTCGTTCCGGAAGCCGAGACGGCCCGCCTGGCCTCTATATATCTCAAGGTCTGCATCGCCAGCATACCCGGCGTCATCCTTTTCGAGTGCGGCAAACGATTCACTCAGGCGCAGGGCCTCTTCCGCGCCACCACTTACGTCCTCCTCGTCGCCGCGCCCTTCAACATCTTTGTCAACTGGCTGCTCGTCTGGAAACTCGAATACGGCTTCATCGGCGCCCCAATCGCCGTCGCCATCACCGAGAATCTGCTTCCCATCCTCCTCTTCCTTTACGTCCGCTTCGTCGACGGCCGTCAGTGCTGGGGCGGCTTCAGCCGCCGCGCCCTGTCCAACTGGGGCGTCATGATCAAGCTTGCCCTGCCCGGCATGATCATGATCGAGGCTGAATGGCTCGCTTTTGAATTCATGACGCTCTTCGCCAGCCGCTTCGGCTCCGAGTACCTGGCCGCTCAGAGCGTGCTCGGCACCCTCACCACCATCTCCTACCAAATCCCCTTTCCCATGTCTATTGCTGCCTCGACTCGCGTCGCCAACCTCATTGGCGCCGGCCTCGTCGACGCTGCCAGGATCACCGCCAAGGTCACGTTTTTTCTAGCCGTCTCCATCAGCGTCTTCAACTTTGTCATCTTCGTCGTTTTTCGATACCACCTTCCCCTCCTCTTCACAAACGACGAGGGCGTCATCACCCTCGTCGCCCAGGTCATGCCCGCCGTGGCCGTCATGCAAGTCTTTGATGGTCTGGGATCCGGCGCCCACGGCCTGCTGCGCGGCATCGGCAAGCAGGCCATTGGCGGCCCCATCAACCTCGTCGCCTACTACCTCGTCTCGCTGCCGCTGTCCGTCGGCCTGGCCTTTGGCCTCGGCATGAAGCTCCAGGGTCTGTGGATCGGCGTCACGGCCGGCCTCATCATTGTCTCCATCATCGAATACATTTACCTCTGGAAGACGGATTGGAACAAGGCAGCCGACGAGGCCGCCCACAGAAATGAAACTGGCTAAAAGCGCCAATCCTCACATGTTGAATATAGAGGTTTTGAAAGATATAAAAGACAAGAGCGACGAGGAAAAGGGACAGTTGAGACAAAATATTTTATTGATTTACTGCTAGCACCAAAGCGAGTTTGCTTTGACCGCAAAAGGTGCTCATCATGCAACAAGGCGAGCAATTGCATTGCGTCAATACCTGATTCTTGGCTTTGATCAGTTTAATCTGGTCATCTCTGCGGGCTTAGCTGTCATATACTCACGACCTGTCTTTGTTACTTTGTATATGTACCTACATAGCTTTACTGGAGAGCATAGATTCCCCATATTTTGACTCGAGCAGCAATGACAGCTCGATTCTTCATCTCTATGAGTTCTGCGATTCGCCGTGATTAATCTTTTCATAGCGTTGTATTTTTACCATACTACTTCGAAAAATAAAAAATGAACATCTGCAACGGTGTTATCAAACGAACCCGTCATCAAACGAGTCCGTCCATGTCCAACTCAAAAAAACATAAACGATTCTTTTTTACCAAACTCCCACTCCGCAAGGCAATACCATTTATCTTGCATTAAACATGTACCCTTCATTCCCAACCTTGTTTCCCCCCAACAAATGTTTGCGGCCTGCTATCCGGACAAGCCTATTTCCACCCTAGCCGAGCATAGAGTGTGTGCGAATACCCTTGGGGCCGAGTTCGCTGATTTCGTATTAGTCAATCGGATTTATAGGATGTTAGAAAGAAACAAGAGACTTACTTATAGTCGACGCGGCTTAGACTCATCATGCGTTGCGCCTCGACAGACTGCGTGTCCATGTTGGAGTGCAGGCAAAAGGCAATTCGAGCAGCAACCTGCGCGCCGAGAAACATAGACTCCTCGAAGCCCGCCTTAGTCCACTCGCTGAGATAGTTGGGCATGGCGGCGAGCTTGATTGACGTGGGCGTCTGACTGTGGAAGTGGTGGCTGGCGGGCCCCGCGGCCTCTGAGCCGGCCTGCGGCGTGCCCAGACTTTGCTGCTGGTTCAGGCTTGCCGTGGTGGCAGCTTGGAGCAGCGGGTTGACACCGCCAGATTGCAGCTGGTGCGGAGCGCCGCCAAATGAGCTCGTGGGAGTTTGGGCGCCGGTACCCGTGGGGGTGGCCATATTGGAGGGCAGCTCAGAGGTGAACATGGTCGCCGTAGAAGGAGAAACAATGTGTCTGGCATTGAGGGTGGCCAGAATGTTCTCCTTGAGTCCGCGTAGGCGCGAACCATTGCCCACGAAGACAATGTTGTCCCAACAAGGCGGGCGCATATACATGTCGTCGATGCCTTGGACTGTACGGTATATGGCCGTGACTATACGGTCAATCTCTGAGCGATCAGCAAATGTGAACCGCTCCAGACCGACTTCGATATCCTTCTTGACACGCTTTGGCCTGTATGTGGGCGTGTCATTCTTGGAGTCCTTGAGCGCCGAGTCCTCGCCAGGCTTAGGGGCATTTCCATTCGTGGCCACGACCTGGGGCTCTTCTGGCTTAGGCTCCTCCTTCACCTCAATCGGTGCTGCACCATCTGTCATAGCGACGTCAGGGGCAGCGCCAGTCTCTGCTGTAGTAACAGCGGGCGCCGCGGGGTCTGCTGTCGCGGTGCCCTCGGCAGGCTTCTGCTCAGCGCCAGCATCCCCATTCTCTTTGGTCGCCTCCTTCAGAGACTGCTCAGGCTCAGGTACGACCAATTCCTGGATAATCTCTTCGTAAAAAAATGTGTTGTGGGTTCTCTTGCTGTTCGGAAGACGCGCAGGTCTAGCGGGCGCTTCCTCTTGCTGCGCCTTCGGCTTCCTTCCTGGTTTGGCCTTTTCCTTTTCTTTGCGCGCAAGAAACTCTTTTGTTTGGCCACTTGTAACAATAGCAGCCACATCCAAAATGCCATCATCTTCAGCTTTGTTGTCGTCGCCACCTTCCTCTTCATTTGCAGCAGCGTCGGGCTTGGAAGCCTCGGGATCAGCAACGGGGGCGAGAGGCTTAGTAGCCTGAGGAGCACTTGGGGGCGCGCCAGACGAGCTTGCGACGGGAAGTTCAAAGAGCTTGTCTGCCGTTGCGACATATGGTAAGACTTCGCAAATTGTACTCTTCTTCAATTGCTCAGCCATGTCGTATGTGAAGTTCTTGGATGCCAGCAGTGTCTTGAGTCTTTGCGTGAATACGTCACCTCCAGAGAGCTGGTCATCTGCTACAGAGGCCCCAACGTCGATGTGGTTGACGACACGGCCGTCGTGAATGGCAGTAACGTCAACCTTTTGAAACCCAATATCAACGACCGTCATGTTAGGCCATTTAAGTCCGTATTGGGTGGCAATGCCGCTATGAATTATGCAGAGGGCGGGCGTTCTCGTCTTCTCGAAGATGTACCGCGCAATGGCCTCAGCGTCGGGCCGTGTCCATTGCGGCGACGCCATCAGCAAGATGGGAGTATTGTGGTATGTCGTAGTGAGCAGGCCATGGACGTGGTCGAGGAAGGCAAGAAAGGCATCCATGTGCACAATATGGCCAGCTGTATCACTTTATGTTAGCGGTCGTTCGACAGCAGCCGGCGTCTCTGATTGAGCCGCGCGCGACAAATGGCGTCTTACCGCGAATGGGATACACGGCGCCCTCGCTGGAGTCGACATCCTCGACCCATTCCTCCTCTTTGACGCCATTGACAACCTTTGTGCGGCTGTACGTGTGGTATGGACGCCATTCATCGCCATCCTTGAACATGCGCGTTGGAATGCGGTGTGCTGGCAGCGTCAGCTCGCTGCATCCGAGCTGCGCAAGGGTCGTCTGGCTGCCAGGGCAGATGATCAGGATCTGCTCCTCGCGCCATTTCCCGGAGCTCGACATGGTGCGAAGTCGAAAGCTAGAGCAGAATGCTCGTCACCCAATGAAAGTGATGAGAGAAATGGCGTCAGGCGCTCGGCGGAGGGTGGCCAGTCGGAGATTCAACGGTCGCTGTTTGTCGTGCGAATTTGGAGGCTGCCGCGCTTGCTCTGTCGCGAGAAAGCAAGTCCACTAGGCAATCGCGAGGCTAGAGTAGGAGCAAGCTTTGGCTAAGGGTGGCTGTGGCTGCAGGGGAACTTGTGGCGCATCAAGTTGTGTTGTATCACGTGATTCCATCTTGACGGGCTGTCCCAGCTTTTCCATAAAAACCTGCATTTTACATACGTTGCTCTTCATTGAGGTATTAGAGAACTATTCATTATTATCACTTGTTACAGTGAGGTCTAAATACGTAGTAGTAATAGTATGTAATCGTAGACAGCATGAGATTCTCCATCCCAGCAAACAAGTAACCTTTTCATCTTTTCCATGGCAAGATCTGAAAGCCGTAGCAGAAACATGAACAACCCAACAAGCCCTGATATACGTCAACTAGATCATTATAATTATAAAACGCAACTCCCGTCAGGAAGAGCAGGATAGTGGAAAAACCAAGCAAAATGTGACCAGGCACATTCAAAATGCGCCATCACCTCCTGTGGTGAATGGGAATGGAAGATGCTGCCAACAGATGGAACAACGCCAAAGTATAAACATGAAAATGGAAACATGGGTCCCCGGAAACGCCCTGATGAAACATTATGCCGAATCCTTTGCTGCTTGCTGCAGCTCCTGTCGTCCTTCGTTCGTCATACCCAATCACATCATAGTAATACAGCTCCGTGGAAAGCAGAGGTTGCGGATCAGTCACTCAGACTAATCCTGATAGAAAAATCGCCACGTTATGCAGCAGTAACGGCAGTGGGCGTGGTGTTCCCGTTGTGGCTGTCGACGGGTTCCAGTGGCTCAATATGGTCGACAGACTCCAGCTCCTTGGTCTTTCTCTTGCTCTTCTTGGGGGTGCCTTCATCAGTCACGTCGCCAGACATGGAGCTGGGACGATCAGAAGTAGGTGTGGTTGGCGAAGAACCGTCGTAGCTCCAGCGGTCATCGGTAGCGCCCGTGTAGATAGAGGAGCTGTGCTTCTTCTTGAAAGAGGCAGATTCGGAAGCATCCGTGTGCTCGTGTTGAGGGGTACTGGGGTGGCTATCGCTGTCGTCAATTTGAGCCAAGTTATCAAAGGCCATCATGGCGGCGCTGAAATCGTCATCGGCGTATGACTCGCGTGAAGGAAAAGCACTTTTCTCAGTAGTGGTTATCTCGCGCGAGTTGCGCAATTCGAGCTTCTGAGGCTTTGAGTTGCTGTTGGCTGAGATTTGAGAGAGGCGCATGGTCCGAATAGTAGTAGGCTCCATGATGGAGAATTCGGCATCCATAAGCTCGGAGTCGGAACAATCAGAGATTTGTTCATCATCACCGTCCATGGCTGCGTCACTGTCATCTGTCGTGCTGACAGTTGGATGCGTCTGGTTGACAGTATGGGTCCTTTCCTTGTGAGAAGCGACCACCTGAGGGCCTTGGACTATGGGTGCAGAGCCGGCAGAGGTCTCCTCCTGAACAAGGTCAGACTTGGCTAGAGAGATGCGCTTGCTCGTGTCAAGGGGTGCAGCGGCGACGGCGTCGACAAAAGCATTGTCAGAGTTGTCACAAACTGGTACCTCTTCGATTTCGGGCGAGACAGCATTGAGCTTCGTGTCATCGACAGCAACCTTATCAGCAGGGGTGTCAGAGGAAGGCAAGACCTTTTGAGCCTCGGGCTTGACAGAGATGGTCGAGACAAGGTTGCTGTCCAGAATTTGGCCTATGTCGGAAACGCGACTCAGTCTGGATTCGTTAATATCGCCGGTGGACTTGACGTCGTCCGTAACACCATCGATAGAGCCAGTGGCAGCTTCTTCACGCAGGTCAGCTTCGCTGAATGCCTGGCGAAGAGGGCTTTTGACACTCAGATTGTCGCCAGCGCCTTCGCTCTTCATATGTTGCGAGACGCGGGCCGGGCTTCTGCGCGGCAGAGGAGGAGGTACACGCTTGGCTATGGTCACGACGTTGCCTCTGGCCTGAATCATGCGCGAGGCAACAGCCTGAGTTCGGGCAGGCTGAACGGCGGCAACTTCAAAGATCACGGGCTCCTCGTCATCATCGTCGTTGTCATCGTCATCGAAATCGTCCTGGTCAGCTTGGGGCGAAGAGGCTCTTGAGTTGGAAAATCCGGCAGACTTGGCATCTTCCTCGGTAGTGGACATCTCCTCAGGCTCCTCAGCAATGACGGGCGTCTTGGCATGCTCCTCACTAATGTGTCTAAGCGAGGACATGTCAACAGTTGTATAGTCGACAGCTTCCCTGTCAATGAAGGGCCGTTCGCTTCCTTCGTCGCTGTCGCGAGGGCTAGGGCTGACGGATCGTGTATCGATTTGAGTGGCGGGGTCGGTGAGTTGGCTCTTGGTGGTGCGATTAGACATGTAGGAGCCACGGTTGCTGCGAGCCATGGATTCAATGCTTTGGCGGCTGAACTTTGAGACGACGGGGCTCATTGGGCTGTTGCCAAAGTCGACCTGGCTACTTGCCGGGCGCAGGCGGCTACCCGCTTCACGAATCTCGAGACCAGCCATTTCGAGGGCCAGGATGCCGAATGGATCGGGATCGTCCGATTTAGGGACGCCAAATCGAGGAGAGGCCGGGTTGGTGGACGTTGGTGTTTCTATCACAGCGTCGCCCGGTGCAGGTTGCACGGTAGTTTCATGGATGATGGCGGCGTCAAAGTCGGTTCTGCCCTCGGCCATTTTAATGACTTCAAATAGTGGTTTCGTCTCTTCGACGTGGCGCGAGACATTGCCGGCGAGAACGTCCATCTGGGTGACTTCAGAGTTGTAAAATCGCACATTTTCGTTTGCTCTCTCGGTGAGAATGCAGCCGTTCAAGTTGACGGACTGATGCTGACCGCGAGCTTTCATGTACGCCAAAACAGTGTTGTCGAGATCTTTCCAGCTGATGCGCTTCTCCTGGGAGTCAAGAGGTACAGACGGGCCGTTGATGAGGCTGACATCTTCGCCGAGGGTAACACGAGACCTGGTTATAGTTTCGAGGGCAGCCAAGTTGCTGACAACAAGTACACAGTCGTAGATGTCGACGCCAATGATGAAGCTGAGAGTGGGAGTGTGAAGCATGATTCCAGAGGGCGGAGACCAGGTGCCGTCTGACTTGCGCGCAATGAGGATGCCGGACCCGCCAGATCCGGTCATCCACAGGCCACTCCGCATGCAAGTGAAGACGGCAATACCGGCGGCATTTTGGATCACTCGTTTAGGTATTTTTTGAATGGTTTGAGCGGGAGAAGGAGGAGGCTGCGAGGGATCGGAGGGTGGCTCGCGGACATCAGTATCGACAGGGTGCAGGTAGCCGTCGACTAGACATTAGTGTTAGCATTTAAGAGTTGCTCTGATGAAGGCCCATGGCGGCTCGCGGAGGTTACGCACCGCAGAAGGACTTCAATATTCGAGCAGCCTTGTCGCATTCCTGATCGAGAGTGGCGGGCCAGAAAGCCTCTCGCTTGATGCGGGCGTTGTTTGCCTTGGCCGTGTTGATGGTGGGCGAGAGTTTGGGTGGCGTCGCAGGGCCCGAGACGGACCTAGCACCCCAGCCAAAGAGGCCGCTGTTGTTCTTTGCGCCGCCAGACGACGTCCTCTTATCCCACGAGGGCAGAAAGGAGGAGACGCGCTGCATGGCGGCAGCGCAGGAGGGGGGCTCTCTATACCGTCAGCCAGACCGGAGCACCGGGGCTGAGAGAAGGCGCAAACAAAGATGATAAGCCAGCCCTGATGTTGGAGCGAGTGACTTGAATGACGAGTGTCTAGGTAAACGAATAAACGAAATGGTATTGATGACGAGGAAGGAGAGAACTGGATGATCAAGGATGGAGATGCGGTGCTTGGTCGGGCTGCAATGTCGCTGGCGAGAAGGAATAGAAGGCGTCGAGAGTATTTTGGAGCGATTCGTCAGTACCTATTATTGGTTGAGTGCTAGACCGTTCACACGCCCCCTTGGCGCATGAACAGAAGAGGCGACGGCAGGATATGTTGAAGAGGTAGAGACCGATTCGTTGGAGGGAAGGGAGGGAGGGAAGGTGAAGCGAGCGTGGAAGAAGTGAGAAGCAGTTTTGGGGGGTTCTTGGGAGGGAAGAGGTGAAAAGAGGTGGGCGTGAAGCAAAGAATGGGTGCAAATGTCATTCAAAAGCGCGGGCCTGGCTGGCACATTGTGAGGAGGCAGGCCGCTACTACGGTAGGTTGGGTCGCAGGAGCAGGTCACTAACAAGGTCACCAACACGCAACACGGACAATAACGAGCTGTACAGAGAGAGTGTGTGGCTCCCCCTTGGTGGGTAAACGCAGTCGCAATGTCTCCAGTTTATTTTAATAAAAAAAAAAAAAACTGGAAAAAACTTGAACGGCAATCTGGTGTCTGGAGACTGGCAGGGGATCGTTCCAGGCCAGCGGGAAGAGGTTGATGATTTTGATTCGGTGTGGTGGAGTGGGTGAGAAGCACCAGCGAGCCCAAGGTTCAGACCAGTGATATCACACGAAAAAGCAAAAACAAGTAGGTAGGTAGTATTTAGGTAGGTGGCACAAAAAGGGAACTTGGGACCCTTGGTTTTGGAAAGAAGAAAGGAAAAAGAAAAAAAAAAAAATACACACGAGGTTTTTATTGTCTGTACAATACTTGATTGATTGTTCCATCATTCTCCAGTACCAAGCTGTTTGTTGTGAAAAACAATGCATCCGCTTCCCAAGTTACTGGCCATCCCTCACTGTAGGCCCTCAGGCAGGCCAGACAGCCCACTGTAGCCTCCCCTAACAGGTAGGTACAGTACCGAATCTGCTGGGCTTCAAAGGTACACGCATCACCATCTACGCGCGTGTCATGGTTATCAATTGTTTGCTCGCCCGCTTGGACTATACTATCCCATAATCAATTCCAATTTTACTCTGTACACGCATCTTCTTCATCCTATCACAGCGCCAAACAATCTCGATACCGCCCTCCATCTTCGCGCTTTCCCGGCTCGCCCACATTCTCGCGCATGCACTCGTCCTCTCCATACCAACACGTCCTCGTAGTCATCTCTACCCGTCTCGCCTTTTACACGCGCCGCGTTTCCTGGCATTCCATGTAATCTGTCGTCATCCTAGCCCGGCCTCGCCCGTACTTATAACACACAGTCTTGGTGCTGCCCGTGCTGCCCGTGCCTGCTTCTATTATTAAATTGACATGGGCCATCGTATCGACCCAGTTGTACCCAGCTCAACCGTACTCCGTAACTACAGCACGGATAATTAATACAGAGGTGCGAATATATAAATAAACACACAGTTCGAGTCTTTTCCCCTTTTCAATTTTCAGGCTTTTCCCTACTTCTTGTTAAATTGAGTCTCTTTTGATCTACTTTCGACATCAACCCAAAACGGAACAAATTAACATAGAGTTTGCCCCTCCCACCGCCAAACCGCCAAACTATACCGCCACACCTGCCCCTCCCATTATCAACGCAAAAGGATTGACAATGCTGGTCTCATCGAACAGTTTGCCCACCCTTGCTCTGGGGTTCGATTAAAAGAGGAATGCCAAGTAAAGCGTGTAGTAGCTGGAATGCGCCAACCAAAGACTTGAACGTTTCCCATGCCGGTTCATCTCATACAGCAACCTTGCCGGCTCTGACGCGGCGCGATTAGTTATCCTCTGTGGCCTGTTTCGACGCCTTTTCTTCCTCTGCCCTCTTTCACAGGACCATCCAATCTACTTTTGCATTCCTCACGCCCACTGTCCCTGACGAATGGCAGTCCCTCGGTGCCTGGCACGGCGGTCCCAACGTCCGTTCGCGTTCCGATCAAGAACATCCCGCTCTCTTTGAGAGTGGGGGGGTGAAAAGGTGAAAACGTCCCTTGCCTCGGTCGTACGAGCCAGTCAAAGAATTACATTACAGCACATCTTTTTTTCGAATTTGTGTAACCATCCAGTTCAGCGACATCGTGTCCTCAGGCCCACGCTCCCCCCGACTTGGACCCCGGGTTCCCTCTGTGTCACGCCGGCTGCATTCCAATCGCAAGGCAACGTGCGCCAGTACTCGGTACACATTGCATCATAACGCCAAGGGGAAGCAAGAGGGAAAACACGTGAGAGCATGATAGCCTGAAGAAAAACCCAGAGGAAGTCTATGCGCTGAACCAGCTGAAACAGTCTCTTCTGCGGCGTTTTGAGACCCAACCGGTCCTGATCAAAAAGCAAAAACGCACACGAGCAAAAGAAACCATTCAACGACCCCAGTCGTGGTGTTCGGTGTTCCGCAGTTCATTAACCCACGACGTCGATCATCAGCTGTCACATCCATCAATCACAGCTGATCAAGGCTTCTCCTCACGTCTGCACAGATCGATATCGCTCATTCATTTGCAAACAGAACATTATTCAAGTCCCTTTCATCTTCTCTTGGCGCCGTTGCTCCTCCTTGTTGCGGCACCTCGTCCTACCGTGATGCCAAACTGCTGAGGGTCCGTGCCCCCCCTGCAATGATACTGTGCTTGCTGCTATCTCACACTTGCACGCTCAGATCGACAATGCATCTTGGGGCCACGGGCTCATTCAAAAAAAATTCGCTAGATTCATTTCGGGGTCTTGCTCGATCGTCACTCCCACAAGCATGCGAAAATAAACAGAACAACCTGTCGTTACGCACAAGTTCTTTTACTTGACAGGTTCGTCCTTGACCAACAACCGAGATGTCGTAACCAAGTTGCACTTCTATTTTTTGCTGGGTTATTCATTTCGCTCTGGTGAAATTCAGTGCCAGGGACCGCGCCAAATCCTTGAAGCTCCCGAGGCTACCACGCCGCTAGCCATGGATCTTCCCGAATCCTGACACGATTGACATGGCGTTGCAAGACTTGCTGGCCTAGTAGTACGGAGTAATCACCCTCTTTTCCTTGCCTGCAAATTCTTCTTCCAAGGGTCTTTGCTCGGCGAGAAATATGGTGGTTTCCGCTTTTCGTCTGTTAGGCGCGGCCCCCAGTTGTGTCTTGCGATACTTTGGTTCACAATCTGCGGTAAGAGGTATCGATACTTCTTTTCCTTACAAAATGATACAAAATTCTGTAGATGAAGGTGTTGTCTATTCATTGACTTCTCAGCGACTGTTTGCCGTGCCTTACCCAGATGCATCAACTGATTACCGTGTCAGACGGAAGTCATCTCCTACCACATCCCTTGCTTCCTACAGTCCCCGCCTCGCCGCCTCAACGGGCGACTTGATCTTCTCAAATCAGCATTTCATTTCGATGCTTCCTCCTTACAGCTGGCCAATTGTTCATGCTCATCTCGCCACCTGTCTAGCCTCGTTACCCCTCCCTGGTGAACAAATGCCTTGTCGCGTGTCTCCTCCTCATTGCTTTTTTTTCCTTCGGTGATCCCACTTAACCCCTGTCCGTTTATACGTTTACTAAAAAAGGGTTGATCATTCAAAGTGCTTGCATACACAGCCGCTCTTCTTGTCTCCAATATACAACGTGTTTTAAATTGCGAATCCCAGTCTTTCTTGCGGCCGGGAATTGAGGCCTTATTTTGTAAGTAGCTAGTCTTGGCGACATGGAACTACGGACACAAGTAGTCAATGTAGCGTCCAAAGCGGGCAAGTTTTCTGCAGTGCTTCTTATCTTTCATTGTCTGCGTGAAACCAAAGCGGAGATTTGCTTTTGCAGTCATTTGCGAATCGTGCGGCTGATGACTGAGCACTTGTGAGCGAGATGGATACAAGGTATGGTACGGTAGCATAGACAAGTACAGCATTTTGATGGCGCAGAATGTCGCTTGTTCGGCGGCGTTGGAAAATGAATACAACTGCTCTCCAAATATTCTTGGTGTGAGGCTTTATTTCAATAAGAAAAGAATGTTCATGTTACTCGAGGTACCCTTCAGTAGCAAACAGTGTTTGACTCTTGCGGCACATGTCCGTCCAGAAAGACTTAATGCGACCACCTCCGTCCTACACATCGTACCATGACCACAACAGGCAGTTGCGCATTGAGAGAACAACGCCATGATGGGAATAAGACATCACCAATCCAAGAACTAGTATACATTAGGGTTAGAAAATGCCGTTCAAAGACACAATGTACGCCGTAATCTGGTATATTGAATGCTAAGACTTGAAGAATGACAACCAAAAAAAAATTCTGACATGTACATGCAACTGCCAGCCATCATGAACTCGCTCAAACATGAACATCTCTCCACTTGAGCGTCGGAAACTCACCCAGCCGCATCAGATACCTCTCCAAAGGCTCCGGATCCACGCCGGACATCATCTCCGGTGCGTGCGAGGTTCCCTCTCCATTTTCTCCTTCCCCATGCCTTGATCCATTCCCTTCCTTCCCTTCCCCCTCTACTTCTTCTTTATCCTCCTTCTCTCCATCTACCCAAAAGGCAATCTCCCGCGCATGATCCGCAAAGTATCCCCGTAGCCTCGCGCGCGCCAGCTTGAGCAAACCCCCCCGCACCGTGCGAAAGACATCCTCCCACGACGCCGCGGCCCCGTCGGTGCCTGGCCAGCCCCCGCGCACGTCGCACAGCTCCAGGCTACGCAGCGTCCGCGAGTGGCGCTGCAGAAAAGCAGCCAAATCCCGCAGGCTAGCCACGTGGGCGCGCACAAGGGTCAGTGACTGAAGGTTGGCGAGGTGCGTCTGGGGGAGGAAGTCGTCATGTTGGTGGTGATGCCTTGTGCGCTCGCCATCTCCGCCGCGGTCGTCAAGGTCGAGGCGTAGCTCGCGCAACACCCACGCACTCTCGAGCACGTCTTCGAGCTTGCTGAGGATGCTGGGATCCGCGCGCTGCGCATCCGTCGTCAGCTGCAAGTCGAGATGCACGAGCGAGTTGAAGAGGTTGGCGATGAGGGGGAGGTAGCTGGCCTGATCCATGGCGTCGAGCGCAAACGGAGCCATTTTTAGAGCGCGCAAAGGCTGCATGTCCGTCGCGAGGTCCACGAGCATTTCCACCTGCCATCCGCTTGTCGTGTAAGCGAGCTGCCGCCTGAGCTCACTATCCGCATCATCGTCGCCGCCGCCGCCGTTCAGAAGCTCGGCGTCGAGGCCCAAGTCCGCGCGCGATAGAAACGGAAAGCGCTCCCACGTGAGCGTCAGTTCCTCCAGCTTGGGTAGCCGACACAGTGCCTCGCACAGCAGGTCCGCTCTAAGCGGCACGATGCGCTTCTCCTCGGGATGCGCCCTGAGGCGTCGCGCCACCGCGATCGTCGGCCACAACGCGGCTTCCAAGCTCTCCGGCCCTGCTCTGTCGCCGCTGATCCACGCCAACAGCTCCTCGTCCTCGTATACGGCGCGAGAGCGTATGCGCACCCGCTGAATCTGCGCCGCGCACTCGGGCCACCGCGAGAGCGCATCCAGCCGCGCCGCATTGTCCCGCCACGGCACGCCCACAAATTCCTTGCGCGCCAGCAGCACACGCAGGATGCTTGATAGATGCTGGCTGGCGAGCCGCAGCGCGCCGAGGTCAGCCACAGACAGCTGCCGCGCGACGTAGAGGAGAAGCTCGTGCGGCATCCGGCTAAACGGACTCAACTGCGGCACGTCTGCGGCGTACAAGTCATCGTCCATTGTTTCTCGATATTATCAACGAAAATAAAACGAAAAATGAAGAAGAAGAAAGTAGCAGACCGAATCGCAGAAGCGGTAAACGCCGACAAAGTAAAGCTGGGCGTTTGCGCGTGTAAATGGATTCAGCAGTTTCCGCACTGCTGGCAAAGTTGGGGATACCTGAAGCCGTTTTTCTTCTCTTGAAAGACTTGCAGTTCCAAAAACTCGACCGGGACAAAGTACAAGTATACTCACGATAACCTGGTACGAATGGCGGTTATTGTTCTCGTCGTAATGGCGGCTACGCGTGGGCTGCGTCGCCAGCCGAAGCAGTCGCGCGCGGGGAGCGGGTGGAGCAAGGCGAAATGCGCTCGCACTAACAGTTTTCGCGAGTTATCTGCATGGAGAGCTGTTAGCAGCGCTGACACCGAGAGTAAGCGCGCCCAGGCGGGCCTGAAATTTTGACCAGCCGCGACCGGGAGAAGGGGGAGGGGGGGTTCAAAATTGTAGCGACGAGCCCTGTCCCCCCCAACTCCCATCCGCCCCGTCAATCTCTCGGAAGAGTTCGCACGATACGCGCCCACCAGCGTCACGCGGCCATGCTGTAGGCTTTAACGCGGAGTTCCTGAATCTCATCATTCAGGTCAGCGTTCACGACAATCAACTGCAAGCCGTTCGTCACCCCTTTTGGCATCCGCCATGTTCAAGTGCGTATTGCTGCCCGCCCAATTTTGGAGGCGCCCGTGTTTTCGGTGCTGACTCTCTCTCCCAGGGCTTACAAGAACCTCTCGCCCAACGCCAGGCTCGGCGTCGGCGTCGGCGTCCTCATCTGGGGTACGGCTGGGCTCTACCTCTCGGACCGCGCCGAGGAGCGGTTCGGCTTCAAGCCGACAGAGCAGGACAAGGAGGAGCTGCGGCAGATGACGCCGCACATTGTCGCGGTGGAGAGGGAAGAAAAGTGACGATGATGTTCCATATCAACAACGGATGGTGTGTAACCACGCTGCCTTGTTGTCTGTGCCACCCATTGTTTGATAGTCCCATCACATCACGTCGACGGCAAGATGCGCTCAACATGTTTGTTTGTTTACTAGGGTGTATTGAATAGCTAATGATGAACTAGCATTCCTACCACTCAAACCAAAGCTTTTTGTGCAAAATAAGCCAAGTACTTGAACAGAATTCCCCTCCGCCCCGGTTCGCACCCAGTTGTCCTTCTCCCCCTCGCAATTTTTTTCATTCAGATACCACACCTAGGGTCCTCAAACAAGGAAAGCCACAAGTAAGCAGAGAGAGAGAGGAAAAAAAAAGCAAAGTATCAATGAACCGCCCAAGTCACGACAGTCGCGACAGATTACCGGGTACCTTTTGCGGTCACATGAGCCCCCCTTCCCCGCCTCTATCGTGATCAGAACGCGAAAAATAAAAAAGAAGTCTAATAAAATTGTCAACACCCACCCCGTCTATCCGTAGAGAAATGCGTTGTAGTACCAAACATCCACCAGAATTGCCTCATCAGAGACATCATGAGGCAGAGGTATCAAGCGTAGCACGCGAGTTTGCGACTTGCCCATGGGTTCCGTCCGGGGAGTGTAGAAAAGAAGCCCAACCATGATTCTCGAAAGACTAAAAATCAGTAGCACGTAAAACCAGAAAATTCAGAAACCAGAAAAAGCAATTCGCAACGCCTCCGAATGCATCTGCCTCCACTGAGCCTTGTTTGATAACGTAATATTCCCCAAGCGACGTATCTGCGTAGTGCAAATTTGGATTGAATATTTTTTTTTCGTTTGCTCGTTTTGTTTGTTTGCTTCGTTACGTCGGGTTCGCGCCGAGTCGTATATGCTGAACAACCGCGGCAGCAGTTGTCGCATTGGGAGACTATGCGCAGACTTGAGCCCGTGGCTCAAGCCCAATAGAGCCGAAGCCGAGAGGCCTGTCACAGCAAATCATGCCCGTAGCTGCATACGCTCAAGAGCGATTTTGACCGCCAGCATTAGGAGGGAACATCTGAGCCCAGTCAAGGCTGGACTGCGGCTGCTGGTTCGAGGCACCATACATGGGCATACCACTCTGGCCGGGAGGGACATTGTAGCCGTGCATGTTCTGTCCATTCATGGGGTTGACGTCGCCTCCATAAGGCTGAGAGCCACCCATGACAGGAGGAGCCATGCCACGACGATCGCCGTTAGCGGGGTTGTCCATGCGTCCCATGCTGGAGGAGCGAGAAAGCTGGTGCTGGTGTTGATGCTGGTCGCCGGGCATACCATTCATGCCATCCTGAACGGGAACCATGCCAAAGGGGTGAACCATGCCGTCGCCGGGCATGCCGCTCATTTGGTTCATGTCACCATCGGGCATACCAGCAGCCTTTTGCGCCTGGGCGTTCTTTTTGACGTGCGCCTGAGGGTGGGAAAGGTGGGAAGCTCCGGTGGGGTTGCCACGGCGGATGGAGCACTTTTGAAAGTGGCGCTTCAGGATATCACTGCGAGAAAAGGTGTCGCGGCAGAGAACACACATGTAGGGACGGTCACCAGTGTCTACGCAAGCGGGTTAGCATGGTAAACGCGTAGAGGTCAAGAGGGCATTGGCATTGAGAAACTTACGGCGCAGAAGATGGCGCTTCAAGTGCTTGGCGTGCAGATAGGTCTTGGTGCAGTGAGGGCAAGGAAACTTGCCATCGGCATCCTTGACGGGAATGACCGTGTTCTTTGCAGCCGTGGTACCGGCGGCGGGAGCAGCAGGGCGACCCGGGGCGCTGGGCAGGATACCTCTGCGACCCTGAGAGCCTACCACATGAGTAGGCTGCTCCGCGTCGCCCAGGACACCGTTGTTGGGCATGAGCGGGCCGGGCCCGTAGGGCGAGCCGACGCCATTCTGGCCCATGAGACCACCGGGAGGCATAGGACGCAGGACAGGAGGTCCGCGACCACCAGCAGGCGCGGGAGCGATGGGCTGCGGGTGCGGGTGCGAAGGAGCAGTGGTGGCGCCGGGCATCATGGGCTGAGAAGTGCCGTAGCCGGTGTGCGGCGGGTAGGGGTTCTGAGCCATCGAGTACATGCCGCTTCTAGCACCGGCCTGGGTGCTCTGAGGGTAGCTGGGAGGCAGGTTGTGCGCAGAGTTTGGCGTGTTAGGCGTACCAGTGCGCGGGGTGTGCGGGTTGCTACCGTAGAGGGGCTGCATGCTCGTGGTGGAAGGCTGCAGCGGCGGCAGCGTCTGAGGCAGAGGAGAACCTGGCTGACCGTGATGAGGCGAGAAAGAGGCCGGCGACGGGTAACTGTGAGGGTTCGAGGTTCCGTTTATACCATTGGTGGGATAGGGAGAGTTATCCATGCTCTTGCGCGCAAAAACGCGTCGCGAAAGATTTCTGGGAGTTGTTTTTTTGGAGAAACGGTAGTCGAGGGCGAAAGGCAGAAGTGCGCGACGGCGAAGCGGGCGGACGTCGACGACGCGGGAAAAAAGTCGCGATTGTGTTTTGACGGGTAGTCAGTCGTTTGCAAAGGAGCAACCGGACGATCGATGACCTGACGAGGCAAGCTCAAAGTCGACGATGAAGGCAAAAAGGCCCAAGAAGAGGATCTTGACGTTGGTTGATTTGGATCTCCACGCGGTGATGGTAAGAGAAAAAAAAGCGGCGGCGTTCCAGAAGAAGTGGATGAGGCTCGTTGGAGGCACCTACGAGGTTGTGTTTTTGGAGGGTTCAGAGTGGAGAAAATGGGCCCCGTCGGTTTATGTACTCTGGGCTTTTTCCCGGTTGCCCTTGGACTTGGGGGGAGGGGGGGAGGCGGCTACTGTACCTGGGCAGAGAGCGACGAGTAGCCGGCAGCAGTGGAAAAAAAATGAAAAAAAAAAAAAATTGAGGAGAGGGCAAAGGGAAGAAGGGGGAGGGGTGAGGGAAAGGGGGGGTGGCAATTGCGCGGCGGCCGGGTGCGAGTGGTAAGGGTTGGCAGAGCACACGAATGGTAGGGTGAGAATTGGTATGTGTCTGGAAGTATGATGGCAGATGATGGTGGCAATAATTAGTGAGGGTGGTGAATTTTGCTGCCTCTGGTTTAGCGAGTTTGAGGATGGTGGTTGGCGCTGATTAGGGTGCTGTGGCGGCAGTGACTCGGGTCTGGGCAGGTGTAGTTTAGCATCTTGGGCACATGTTTGCAGCTGTTTCCAGTGCGTGAATCATGTCATTTTAGCAAGGGCAGCGCAGTAAATTTCTACCTTCAGCGCTCCTGTCCACTGTAGCTCACCGGAACCGTTGGATTCCATCCCTTCCTCTCCGAGTCTCTATAGCGTGTTTGCGCGCAGGCGTGGCTTGTAATCCGTGGCGAGTGATGGATCCACGCCCCCAACCTGTACGATTTTTATTTTGTCCTTCTTTTCCCCTTCTTCTTCTTGGTTGCTCGTGCTGCAAGCAGAATAGGGTTATGGTGATGCCGAGAGCGACGACGGCGACCACCACCGCCTCAGCCTAGCTCACTTGGGGCACTCTATGGCACCCTCCGCCTACGACTACATAGGCTAGCTTTATTATTATCAAAAATTGAATAACGAGAAGGGATAAGAAGAAAAATTATAATAACACACAACACGTATTATTACACCCAACCACCGCTATCGCTATCGCCATCGCCGCCCGCACCAAGAATTTTCTGGGCCCGCCCCCCTCCCCCCAGGCAGCGAGTCGCGCGGCTGGGCGGGCACGCTTGGAAGGATACCTGTACTGGAACCAACCACGCCGACCCGAAATCTGAGTTTCGCCATGACGAGGGAACGCAAAATGCGAATTGCAATTGTTTGTGATTTCGAAATTGGCTGGTTCTACGAAGCGGGAGCCTGTGCCAGGCACGGCCGCACAGATTTGGAGGACCGACGAGCTGTCGAGTGTTGCAGGGGAGCGCAGGGCAAACGCCGGTCATTGCGACAAGAGGCAACAGAGCTTGCTGCGCATTGATACATGGTTACATTAAAGCGAGGGAGCGATAATGTATGAGAACAATTCACCGAGAATCATCGAAGAAGAAAATGAAACAAAAAAAAAGAGCGCCTGCTCGATTAGAGAATGGCTCGTCAATGCCTGGTAAACAAGAGCGCCATGCATGTCCCAGGGGCCAAGTGCCCTGTCCACCCACTGCTCGTCCTGTAAATACGACGCCTTTGGCTGGACCTAGGTAACTCGTAGGCCAGCAATATACTTTTCAGTCTTGCGCTATTATGAGGCTAACTTTGTTATTCAATGAGCCCATCTACCAGTACGTACAAGTACTTACAAGTCGTCGACTCGTCAAATGCTCTGATGTTCCGTTTTTTCCGAAACGGAACACAATTCAGGTAATTATTATCGGTACATGGCGTCTCACCTGAGCCTGCAAAAGTGGTCACGAGAACGCATCGCTTTTTTTTCGGCATTGTCTGCATACATCGCAACGCCAAGCTCACCACCATCGCCCTATGCCTCACTTGCAGTAGCGGCATGACTCCAACTGAGCTGTTTTAATTTTGCCACCATCTTAATTTCTAATCATGATCTGATCATGTCGAGTTACATGATTCATCTTTTCTATTCAGTTTCATTACAGTGAATGCACTAACCAACTCAGTCGCCTGCAAGTAATAGTCGCGGCTACACCAACAAAAGAACTCATTTTTGAAATAGAGAGACAAAACAAGATAAGATAAAATAAAATCCCTGACTAGTTTTTGCCTGCCCGTCGCAAAAATTGCACTAGCCAAACGTACTGGCACTGTATGCGCAAACGTAAACCCCCCATGCTAAGATAGGCGCGGTCTGAGCTGGTTGGCTGGCAGCTGGCAAAAAGCTGGGACATGGACGAGCGTCCACCTGCCAGATCAGGCCGCCCCGCGGAAACACGACTTTTTTTCGGGGACAGGCCACTTACTCGCGTCGCTTTCATCGTCCACCTGGTGTCGTCTAGAGCGCGCGCACCCCCGGCCGAGGGCGAGCAAGGTGAAGGAGAGAATTCGGATCGGCCGACGGAGCCAGTGCACATTGATGTGCAAGATTGAAAAATTAAAGGTATGAGCTAGCCAGAAATGCGGTGTGCGTGAGACCTCGTAGCAGCTATGCTGGCTCAAACGGGCGATGCACAAAAAGAAGACGACGAGACTGACTAGCAATTGAAACCAGTCAATCAAGCGATAGGATAAGAAAACTAGTAAATTTACAGAGAAGGGGGAAAACACCAGTGTGTGGTTATTAGTTGGCAATCGAATTAGAAAGTAGATGCCAATTCAGTTACAGAAAACTGTCGTCTGTTCTCACCTCGTCGTCTCATGCAAGAGCTGTCACGTCACGCAAACAGGGCTGCTGGACCGCCCGCCATGACACAGGACATGCAATGGAGGACGCAGCAGGGGGTGCCTTGTGGCCGCCAGATTGATCCTTCTTGTCCAACTGTAAAACCAGCATAAAGTATTAAAATATAAGGTGTTGAAGGTCGGTGGGGTTTCCGTGCAGGGGCCGTTTCTACAATGCGCCAGCAGTGAGCAGCCATCGCAGCCAGGCGGAGCCCGCCGGTGCTGGGGACAGCGTTCCGGGTGGTCGGAGTGGTGGGCTCGCACACCATTTGTTCGGCTTACGGCAACAGAATAGACGACAGGTGAGCCTGACAGCAAAAGAGCCAGTGGGGGCAAGCGGCAAGAGACGAGCGAAATTAAAAAAAAAAAAAGATCATGATTGATTACAGCTTGTCATTTTACAAGATTAAAAGCCATTATATTTCCACCTCCCGGATTACACCGGCGGGGGAGTCGTACCACAGGACATAACTAGTAGCCAAGAAATAAAAGGTGTGGTGGGGAGAGGAGTAACCTTTCAAGTTGTCAGTATTTAGTTCCCTGTTGCCTGTCTTCCCTGCGCGCCCGAGCAATGACCATGTATGATGTTCCGCGTAGCTGGTTCGGCGGTGGGTGGCAAGTGGGTGGCTGCGACTCCAACTACCCATCCATCACCCAGCTCGCTTGCTCCCATCGCAGCAAGCCGTGGATGTGTGGTGGACTTTGCTGGTTGGAATCTTTATTCAGCGGGGAGCCTGCTTGCCTCGCCCTCGTCGGAAGGACGGCTTCCCACTCCCAGCTTTTTGGGGGGCTCCCCCCCCCTAAAAACCATCCATCTCAGCTTCGCTTTGCGTGAGGCGAAAGAGGAGACTTGGCAAAAAAAAAAACATGAGCCTTATGCCCCTCTTTGTGCTACGTTGGTCGCTCTTTAAGGAAACGTCTAAAGAGCAACAGTTGGACTGCAACCGCGACCAAGACTGCCGATTCAACCCATACTTACTCGTAGACACATGGCCAGGCACACCAAGAAAGATAAATACGAAATCACGAGCGAGTGATAATGAGGACCGTCCGGCAAAGTGGCGGCAAGTAGTCCATTACCTCATCCATGTCACGCCACCTGGTAAACAGTATCACCGAGAGCCCGGCACCTATTGTTTGTTGCCTTACCTTTGCCTTGCTTGCCTCACTCGCTCTCTCCCTCCGAGTCCGCCTACACTAGCGGATGATGTGCTCCTGCCAGCTGGAACATTGATATCAAGCGTTGGCGCTCGCTGCAGCCTGGATGCCTGGTTGTGACAGATCGCTTATTGCCAGCCCAGACCAGGGTGCCACGACAGGGCCTACCCCGGCATCAGAGACGGCACCCTCGCTGACCACAGCACAGCGCGCCATACAAAGAAGGCGTGTCAAGACGCAAGATCTCACCTACCGTATCCAGCACTGGCGTTAGCATACCGCTAAAAATTGATCCACCACCAGCACGTTGTCAAAAAGACGGCGGAGGGGGGCGGAGCAAGACATCGAGCATTGGCCAAGCTAGGAGATGGAAAACCGCGACTGAGAATCAGGATGCCCCAATGTTTGATCTCAATCGCACCGGTTTTTTGCCAGTATTGTCGATTTCTCGGGACGCGTTCGTGGAGGATGACCTTGATGTGTCTGTCTGCAGCTCGTCTTACTCGTGGCCTATGTACACCTGCCCAATGCCAAGGGTCACCCTCCCTGTAATTAAAACAAAAAGTGACAGACGACCAGTACGTACATTGCGCAGTGTCAAATGGAATGAATAGCGCCGCAGAGGCCGGAGCAAAGGCCGCCTTGTGGCTAATGAACTCGAACCGCGTTATCGATCCCATCCCTGCAACCCCCTACGTGAGAGTCGCGGAATGCTCTCATTGAGGCTTAAGATCAGTCACTAAACAGGAGCCAGTCCCCCCGTCTGAAAAGCTCAAACGGCTGCGGTACGTCAGTCTGGGGAATACAGATGCCCTGTGCAATTTCAAAATTCCATGAAGACGATGTCATTCTCGTCGGATGGATAC